ACTTAAGAAAACTTTTGTATTCCCTTATAGAAAATTAAGCATAAAATAAGTCTTGCAATATTAATAGTTAAAAAAGGCTTCTCTTATTTTCTAGACTTTTTTCTATTTATTTTTGACCCGAAAAGTAAAGGAAAAGGGGATATGTATTGCGCACGTGCCAAAATCGGCCACTTATCTCGTGCTTCGTACACTGAGAGCCGCCGGCGCCTTGCGCAAGTAATAGCCCGAAGCTAGAATTTCTAGAACAAGATCCTTACTACGAGTAGATGTCGTGCTTTACGGAGGTTATCATGCACCCAGAGGAAGGATTGTCAAATTATCTGTTTAATTGGCTTCCTCTCTCTGGGTACACGATCAGTAATCAGATTGATATAGAATGCAACGCGCTGGTAGCCTATATAGGACAATCAAGTACTTGAGACGTCCCTTACATAAACTACCCACCAAAAGGGGTAAAGAAGACCGCCTACAATGCAAAGGTGCAGAGATCAGCAGGCGCGCGCAACATCTATTTTAAGTCCCGAGATCACCTGCTAAGGAGCCGTCTCAATGACCTAGAGCTTAGTTTAAAGGAATCAAAATACCAGCTAGTTAGTTCGTATTTAGTATATGGCGTACGCTGTATGGAGGTACGAGTATAGTCCTATCGAGAGATTTGATTTACAAAGACAATGATTAAGTATTCTCGGGTATTGTAAAGTGCCGTGGCCGTGGTTCGTAGGATCAAAGAACAAGCATCAATCATAAACACCCTCGCTCTACCCCACGGAATTTGCAGTCGCCAATAACATTACTCTGATGGACCCTTCACGTCGTCCTATGGGATTTAGCTGCACAGATGCCACATCTCCACGGAGATATTGTTTGTTTACGGCTACCAAGTTCTTTCCCAAAATATGGAAGGATCATTGACGACTTGGATGATCCCTTCAAGTCCAGCTTTCTATTTCATCTCGTGCACCTAATCTTCTCGGATGCGGATCACCAAACTAATCAGGGCTAGGGCTAAAAAAGGCTAATCAAGCCGACTGAAGGCTAGCACCAAGGGCTTTATCCCCTGCAACTTAACTCCTACAGTGTTTTACAGCCAATAGACCGCTGCTACTGGAAGAAGCCTCGCGATAAATGGGAACAGCGGCACCAATTCGTATTATACCAGGTGGCGTGGATCATCAAAAGTCAATGACAGTAAGGACCGCTTTTCTCTATCCAGCATAAGGAGCATTAGGTAGGCTTTCTGCAAAGACGGCCGGAAACACTGTACGAGTTTACACCCCTCCGCTGTTATGAATCGTCGAAGAACTGGCTCTGCTATCAAGGCTTTATGTAGCCCTTGGCAATTTCACCCTTTCCGTTCACTGCTATTGTAAGGGAACTCCATCACTTGGCAGGTTTTGTCAGCAACGAAACAAAGCGAGTGGCATTTGAGACAGAAGAGAAACAAACGCGAATGAAAGTCGAGCTGTCTAGGACAGCGTCGATAGCAGATTATAAGGCTGAGATGCGGGGAAATTCCAAGACTTCAGCTGAGGTCAAACCCACCACTCGCGAACCATGATCACCACATCCGTCTTACTACTTCATGCCACAAACATGGTTCAACATGCAGCTTATACGCCAACAAGCTTCCGGTTGGCAAAATTGCAGATTTCAGTCATATTGATGTATCACAAGAGGGGTTGGGCTTTCAGCCTCTGCATCTCGTGGTACAGAGGCACTTGTTGGACATGGCATAAAGAGTGAGCATCTGGCCCATGTGGAAAATCAAAGTCCTAGAAAATCTTCAGAATAATAAGTAGCAACCACTCTCGAGCAAATAGGAATCAAAATATACACCTTGCATGGTTTTCCAACATGGCTGCGACTAGGCACCCTGTCGTCGGTGTTCCTGAACCATCTCTAGCTCCTGCTGACGGATCGGTTCCCCTGAGAATTGGGATCCGTGACCTGCAATCGAACAATCCGGACTAGTGGAATCTGTACCTTCTCGCTCTTGATGCTTTCAAAATACTTGATTGATGAAAAATCCTTGGGGCGGTGTAGAAGGAAGCAACGCCGGTGGATGGCAGGAATACTGCACGCATACCTCCATCCTCTTCGCACCATGGCACCGTTTATATCTGGCTCTGTTTGAGCTATGACCACCTTGGAGGCTTCGAGGACACCGAGCCGAGCATATTGTAAAGCAATCACTTTTTTCGACAGTGCAAAGTATTGCAGGCCAGTTCTCAGGGTCCAGCAAAGCCAGGTACCAGCAGGCAGCTGCGACGTTCCGCATTCCATACTGGGATTGGGCTGCAGCTCCAGCTTCTGGGGATTACTTTCCGAACTCTGTCGGGTCTCCAAGATCTGTCATTACGCCCCAGTCAAATAGAAAGGCAGTCCAGATTGAAAATCTATTGTACTCGTATGATTTCGAGCCACTCAACCCCATGAACGGGGACTTCGTTGATCTCCCGGTACGTGTGACACTTGGGAGCATGTTGTTGCTGAAGCTCACTTCCAATTCAGTTCCGAACGTGGCCCAAGACTCTTCACTACCCAAGCTCCACAATATCTGTCAACGCCGTATCGTAGGAAGACCACGTACTGCAGGCTATGGCATCTTAATTCGGAGGACTGCAGGGTAACGTCAATCTCCTGATGAGCGATCAGAACTACAAGGACTTTGCAGCGTTCTCCAATCATGCCTAGCAGCAGAATGAGCCTGGAACCTTTGTCAGCATAGAAGATAACCATAATTGAATCCATATGGCAGTTTGTGTGGGGGGGGAGCACAAGCTCTCAACCCAACCAGGTACATAATAAACAAACGTGCTGGCGACGGGACTTTCGTCATCAACGGAAACAGTACGGAGACGGCGACTACACCACTGGCTCTATTTGCGGATGCTACTGGAAGTAAATACTGGACATCGGAGGGAGCGAGACAGACGTTGAGCTTCGACTACGCCTATCCCGAGACCCAGAGGTGGAAATTTGATACCAATTCCGACTATTAGAACAGCGTTCGTAATTATGCCCAGCAACTATACGGTGGCATCGGCAATCAGTTCATGATGATGTCTGCTGCTTCCGCAAAGCCAGCAGCTGTTGCCAAAGCAAAGACTGAAGAAAGCCTAGCAGAAGGATTAGGCCAGAATGCCAGGGAACCTCCAGTGGCTCAACCTACAGCGCAACATCCCTTGCGCGACATTGTTGAGAATATGAAAGGTATTCTTGGACGTCCTGAAGAACGCACGGATTGGCACCCGGGGACTAGATCTCGAACCGGGGTCTGGAAAGTGCAGGTCTATGTCAGGTTCTTGTTGGGCGTATTACTGACTTCGAGCAGCTCCAACCCTCCCCTTGCTACCACAAGGAGAAGGCTCGTACACAGAGTATATCGTCAATCTCAAAGCTCCCAAGCATATCCTTCTCAACAGAAATACGTCGTCCACGTTTTTCTAGGTCCATTCAACGCCCCGACCAACACATGGGCGACACAGGATGCACTTGTCGGTAACTTCGCTGTCTTTGGGCAAACGCTTGAGACGACAGGCTGCGGGAAGTGCAGGCAGGATGCCAAAGACAATGCAGAGGTTACGGGAACTGTCCCCTTAACTGCTGCCTTGTTGAAAGAGTTCAATAATGGTACACTCGGTGGACTCAGGAAGGAGAATGTACTACCGTGGCTGAGAGATAATCTGCACTTGCGGGTAACTCTCGGCGATGGAACGGAGAAGAGTAGAGATGAAGTGCCGGGCTTGAAGGTGGGTGTGTCCCCGTTGGCGGATTTCCGAAATATTCCGGCGTGTATGAAGTCCAGGGTACAACGTTGGAGAACACTACACCTGTACGGATGAAATCGGGATGACTGTACAGCGGTAGAAAATGGAAGAGTGGGCCGTCGCTAGTACAGGACCGGTCTCTGCATAATGAAGTTTTGGATCGAAAGCAACTAACGAAGGAAAATTATAGTCTGCATTTAAAACTACGCAAGTTTATATTTGGAAAAGTATAGGATATCTACTTTAAAGATCAACTGATTGAGAAAAAGGAAGTGGAGTAGGCACGTAAATTGATGACAAAAATAGGAAATCCTGTCTGGGAATAGCAACGGGGATTTCTTTATGGATATGCTCCATATCTTTACTATCGGGACCAAGTACCGTGCTCCACTCTATGCGGGTTCGCCCCATTATTTCTACAGTACATACTGTACCAGTACAGTACAGTGAGGATTTACTTTATCACAGGCCAAACTGTTACGCCAAGAAATCTATAGCAGGGGGGTAAAGGTAAACGCACCAAAGCAAGGCCCCTTGCCTTGATCTTCTTGGCGTAACAGTTTGGCCCGTGACGAAGTATGTCTAAATACTATGTCTCGCCACTTGATTGGCCGGGCACTGTTCAAAACGGATTTTAAACCAAACGGGAACTAGAATACGGGTATACTGTTCAACCGCAAACTATTTTCCGCCGCGTCTCGACTTCTTCACCTCAGCCCATATGCAAAACTTAAAACAAGTTTCAACGTCTACATTACTGTACATCGTCGATTCTGGACATCAGCTTGATCTTGATTCTTGTTCTCGTCTCGCTACACGTAATAATCTATCCGCTCTTGCAGCGCCATTGGGCTTCTAGCGCCAGCTTAAACACAACGACGGCGGGACACCGACAACTTGCGGTCTACACTGCCAACCGTCTTTGGTCAATACGGTACTGCGTGAATCATATTCTCATCGAGGCTTACCTGGATACTCACCGACCTCGCAAGAGCCAGAGTCAGCCCACGCAAGGATCAATATCGGTAGTACCGTCAATATCAATTGTGGGCTCGGATCACCCCATAGTGATCGTTCAACGAACGACGTTCGTTGAACATTCCGAATTCCCGCTTGGTCCAATATCTCGATCCCGATATATAAATATTCATTTCATCCTCGATTCTCTCTCGTTAGGCACAGTTGTCCTTTTGTTTTTCTCTCTTCATTCAAACCTGTACAATCGATAATATGGTCGTACAACCGACTGAAATCGGGGCACTCCCAAACGAAGTAAGTATACTCTACTCAACCTCTTCCATACAGTCCTAACAGAGATCAGATCCTCCTCTCGGTCTTCTCGCATCTCTCCACTCGAGACCTCCTCCCACTCACTCCTTCCTGCCATCTCTTCCATGACATCATCCTACGAATTCTCGAATTCCGACTACGAGAAGCTGCCGCCGATAAAGACCACAAGCTCATTGTCGAATGCTACCATCCCTCTGCCAAGTTCTATACTCCCTACCTCTACTGCGAATACCTCGGGACTTCATCTATATATCCCGACCGTAACGGTGTCCGTGGAGAAGAACAATGCGGAAGCCTGGGAAAACTCTCGAACCTATACTCGTATTTCCGCCCTCTGAAACCCGTCGGTAATCGGCGGGCGTTGCGTCTACATCCTTCCCTGATACCTACGGGGGTGACGAATACAGACGAACAATTGGTATGCCAGGATTTAAATCTCGAATCCCACGAATTGTTTAGCCAATTGGTCACGGTGACGAACTTGGTGAAGCTGGGTCCGAAGCCGGGAATCTTCAGAAGCTCTGTCAATGTCGGCGAAGGATTGACAAGAGTATGGAGAGATTGGCTTTCCGATCGGGTGGCATGCGAAAATGAGGGTCCCACGGAGCGAGAAAAACGTCTATTGTGGTCAGATGCTAGAAGAAATGTTGGCATGCGGATGCAAGTCAAACCCGGGCCAGAGGTCCCTCCCGCACCCATGTTAAGGAGAGGTGAGGATCCATCAGTTAGCTATACATTGCAGTACGAGGGTGAGTTTTGATACGATACACACTGGATGGTCTGTTTGCTGATATACGAGAATAGAACTCGCAGTTAGGACCTCGCAATTACTCCTCATGCTAGAGCAATCTTTCAATCAAGAAACAAACCATACAGGTAAATCTTCTGTGGTGATTGGTTCGTGGATAAGTTGAAGCGGTAGTAGCGCTGCCCTGCCGAACTTCAGATGGCTGGAAATTTGTACTCACGTATTTTTTTTCCGAATTATAGACATGACTTGTGGCTTAGCGGGCGATTATTTCGCTGAATTTGCGGGATGGTATAATAGAGGTTAGAGAAATACTCTCGGAACTTAGATTTCAACTTTGTAGGGTTAGTAGCAGGGTCCACCAGGTCTGCTGTGGATAGAGGATGGGTAGAAATAATACTCTAATAGATGAGTTTGTTGGATTAACAGAAACGATAATCAATCCCATCATTACCATTGCTTCTTTATGTGTTATACTCGCCTCTTTGTAGGGGTAAAGCCTGCTCAAATCCTGCAGATCATAACATGTCGGGAGTTCGCAACCGTAATTGCGGACTTCTAATTATACTTTTCACTCGAACAAACTCGTAAATGAAGGAGACACGCATTCCTCCCTTCCTTCGCTCGCTTCGCTTATAGTTAGGGGAAGCGAACGTCCTAGGTAGGTAAGCTCTACGTAGGAGAAAAAAGTTATCGGAATAAAGTCACGTGTATGCACCAAAATTCGCCTATGCACGCCTGTTTATTGCGCATGTCCTAGCTTGTGATTTTCTTACTATTCCAATATAACAAAATAGCTATTTTTACACCTAGTTTTGCTTTTAGAAGTTCCTTGTAAGGTTTCTAGCCTAGGACGTTCGCTTCCCTTGACTATAAGCAAATGTAAGTGAAGAAAAAACTAATTATAGTCTATATATTCTTCGCTCTATGATTATATATACCGTATTAATCTACCACTAGCACATTTTTCTACATGTCTCGCTTAATGCTATTCCTATTAAGCTATTAGGTGCTTTTGCTCATATAGAGAGTGCTAGGGTAGCATGTCCTTATTTTATTTACCCCACTCTAGCTATATGGAACAATTAGAGTGTTAGTGAAATAAGTATAGAAAATATACTAGTGGTGACTTAATATAGTATATTCTCTGCAAACCAAACATCTCGGGTTTTAAAATTTACCGAGCGATCTTCTCAAAAACTCTAATACGTAGAGAAGTCGAAATTAGCTTTTTTATCTTATTCCCGTTCTAAGAATTTACAATAGAGTGGGTGGATAGCCAGTCATATACGCAGTATCGTAACTAAGCATGCTACCTAAGTATTTTAGGGAGAATGCTCGATCGGGCCGGAAAAGAAAAGTGGGCGGCTTAAAGCTTATCTTCATCCTTTAAGTTTCATCCTCGACGGATCCCTTCCTTTGATGACCTCACTCTAATTTTCAACTCGTGCGCCTTCGCATTTGCATTCATTCTTACTTGGTGTAATGTTTAACAAGTCTTTTTTTTTTTTCCTGCGGGGTATCTATAATTTACGGTCGTACACTTAGTTTGGCAGACCGGGCGAGGCTGGCAGAGATACTACTCGTGGAACCAAGGGCGCATAGACTCCAGGCCTGATCGTACTTCCATCAGACCGAACTCTCTCTCTAGTCCAATCTTTCCTTATCTTCCATCAGTAAGTCACCAGGCAGTCCCACGCTGTGTAACTCTGAAAAGACGTGGCTAGCACATAGTCCTATCGGCATATGTTCATTGAACTCAGAAGAGGGGTCCATGACCACCTTGGATGATTGGTCATATGAGTCGATACTTTATTATCCAATGAATTGATTATCCAACATGTATATGTATATGTATGTCATCAACACATACCTTTTATTCATGGAGGATTAAATAAATAACTTCCCGACCCCCCCGACCCCACCGACTGACTAGATGTCATAAAAATAGCCCTGTTGACATAATGGCTTGCAGCCAATCATCTCCCTCTCTGCGTAGCTGGGTCAGCCCGCTCAGCCTCCATCTGGCTAGCACGGACCATCTGGTGTTAAGCTTCGACAAGCTTTCTTGCAGGAATGTATTCCTTCTCTTCCTACTCTCGGCTGACCTGGGGCGCGGTGTTGTGGTGTGGCTCGGCCATTTAACTTTCTCCGAGTGTAAGGTAGTGAGTGTATGTATGTATGTATAGCCAACGAAAGCGAAGGAAGGATTAGAGGCACAATAAATTACCTTTCTTTGCTAACCGGTCCTCCGGCATCATCGTGTGAATATTGTCATATAAGATGGGTGTCTAGTTCCGCTTCGACTTCTGCTTCCCCCACATTTTCAAGATTCTACCCTGCCAAATCCATCAGACTACCCATTTCTCATTGCTCCGTTGAAGTTCTCTGGGTCATTATGAGAACCACCAGTCTTCTTCTTGGGCTTCTTCTGGGTCTTGCTGGTACATCAAAGGCAGATGTCAATCTAACAGTTGATTTGAACTACGCCAAGTACGAGGGCGTCAAGGAGGAGGGTGGTGTTAGCCATTGGCTCGGAATCAGATATGCTGCCCCGCCTATTGGAGAGTTGAGGTTTCGAGCTCCTCGACCACCTACTACAAACCAAACACTTCAGAAAGCAGACACTGTAATGTTTCTCCAACTCTGTCACTTCAAATCCGTCAGCTAACCTTTTCAAGTATGGACATGTATGCTACTCTAGCCCGTCAACATCTCTAAATCCTGCACTCGATGAAGACTGTCTGTTTCTTGACGTCTATGCGCCTACAAACTCTTCAAGTTCCCTGCCTGTTTTTGTCTGGTTTCCCGGCGGAGGATTTAACAGCTTGTCGGATCCAGATACAAGCGCCTCACCTCTTATCGAAGCTGGTGACTTTGGCTTTGTCGTCGTCACCATCACCTATCGCGTCGGTCCTTGGGGCTTCCTAGCTAGCCGTGAGGTAAAGGACAACGGCGATCTTAATGTGGGGCTCTTGGACCAGAGACGAGCGTTGCATTGGGTACAGAGGCACATACATCTGGTCAGTCCACGTCTTTAGTTGGAATGTCCCAAGCTAACCGAATCACAGTTTGGAGGTGACCCCAACCATGTCACAATCGGAGGAGCATCAGCAGGAGCTGCATCCGTGGACCTTCATTTGAGTGCCTATGGTGGCCGTGATGATGGCCTATTCCATGCCGCCGCCGCAGAAAGCCAGTCGTTCGGAGCACAGTTAACTGTCGAAGAGTCCCAATATCAGTACGATGCCTTGGTCAAGAGAGTAGGGTGTGGTAACGCCACAGACAGCCTGCGCTGCCTCCGCAACGTCGATATTCAAACTCTAACGGAAAACAACCCCAATATTCCCACTCCTGGATCAGCCGGCGGAGCCCCAAATTTCATGTGGTCGAACGTGATCGACGGAAACTTCACCCCAGATTATACATACAAGCTATTCGCCGAAGGCAAGTTCGTCAAAGTGCCCGTCATTTTCGGCGACGACACGAACGAAGGAACGGTCTTTACCCCCAAGAACATATCCGACTACACATCCATGAACAACTTCCTGCGCAACAACTTTGTGAATCTCAACTCGACGCACCTCGACAAGATCGACAGCCTATACACCGAAGCGGGCCAATACCCCGGCGCCGGTGCGTATTGGCGAACAGCAGCCAACGCCTACGGCGAGATGCGCTACAACTGCCCTGGGATAAACCTGAGTGCCACGTTCGACCAAGCCGGCATACCCAGCTACAACTACCACTGGGACTACCTGACGTCGCAGAACGGGGAGACCGGAATCGGGGTGCAGCACACGGCGGAATTCGGCTCCATCTGGCAGCAGTCGGACCATCCGCTTTCGGTTATCATCGCGAGCTACTGGGCCAGTTTCATACGGAGCAAGGATCCGAATACGTATAAGCTGGAGAGCGCGCCGACATGGGAGACGTTCGGTGCGGGTATGCAGAGGGTTCATTTCCCCAATGATAGCAGTCCGGTGGCGATGGAAAATGTGCCGGATGATCAGAAAGAGAGATGTGAATATCTGAGTAGTATCGCTGTGGACCTCAGCCAGTAGATCTGTGAAAACAAGTATTGGACTTTATTTGGCAATGGGTTGAATTTTAGCAGGGCGTTTGGGGGAATAAATTGCAATGGCATTTTGAAGGAATCTATCTTATCTATTGATCAAATTTGAAATAGCTCTTTCTTTCCCTGTGAAACCCCATTTGTTGAATTCGAATTGCCAGGACCTCGATGAACGAGTTGTGGTTTGAAATACCGCAACCCCAGAATATGATGATATGCATCTGTTTCGTATCGAGAAAATCTTGAAATCTCGCCATTTCCGACCCTTCAGTAACCAGCCAAGGACCCCACTGCTTACGGTCACTGCCTAATATTAGCGAGAGCTGTAAATACAGCTAAGCCGTCCCCAATTGAGGCCATCGTATTACGAGGCCACCTTGAAGGCAGGATTTACCAGTGCACTACACTAGTTCTCATGCACCAGCGCCACCAAGTGCGCAAAACTCGCACTCGAATCCAAGATCTTTGACCCGGTGGGACTGACTGTAGTACCAGGCGTCACGCGCCACAGGTTTCAATTCTTTCGATAGGCTGGCGGTGGCGCGACGACATCTGAGGTTTTATAAACATGCTCTCCCTCTCTTGCTCTCACCCGATACAGTGGAGGTGGCGTTCCATACTGGGATGAGCGACTTTCGGGTGAGACATAAACAGGTGGGGCGTGTGCTGGTACGGAATTAGTCGTAATTTAGGTATAGATAGATCGTTGGAGCAGTACCTGAAGTTGTTTGGATGGGGATAGGCTGGGACGGAGGTGGTGACCACCGCCTTGTGTCTTCCAGAGAGTGCGACGAAGAGGAAGCAAAGACGAACGATGGTGTAATATTTGTAGACGTTTCACTACTGTGGTGCTCACGTACGGGGCGAGGGGAGACGGCATTCCTTTGAGTGGAAACGAAGACCCGGTTCGCATTCCAACTGCGACTGTGATTAAAGCGGGAGGAGCTGCGGTAGGAAGGCGAAATACTTGTGTACCTCTCCCTCTCCACTGATTGTGCGGAGTGTCTCGTTGTTGAGATACGAGCCGAAATACCAGGGGAAGCGCGGGGAGAATTGCGAGTAGAGTTGCGGATATTGGTACGTTTGATATTCGAAGAGGCGGGGGGTGTCGAAGGAGAGTACTCGGTCGAGTCGTCTGGAGTTGACTTAGAGCTACCCGAACAGAAATTGTAAATCAAAGTGAGAAGCAAAACGCCCACTATGACTGCAGCTACGATTATCATGGAACCACCACGCCTCTCCAGTATGCTGTCGTCATTTTGTGTATTCTGACAGACCTTTGCTGTTGAGTTCCAGGACCACTGGAATGGGCAATTTCCTGCAGTATTGGAGGGCGAATCTGAAAGAACGCTGCTGTCGACCACGTAGCGGGAAGCGATCGAAGGTGTTGTTGCAGCGACATATAAATCAGTGTTTGATGTCCCGTGAGCGCCAGGAGCTGGGGCCCTAAGTAGGCCTAGAGAGGCTGCTTGTACATTTGGGAGATACATTTTGTTTTCTTGCTTCCGGATGAAAAGTGAGACCAAAAGTATGATATTCAGGGTAGCAATGAATATTATGTCTGGGCGCCGGTATAGTAAGCCTTTTTTTTTCTTTTTTTTGTCATGACATGGTAGAATCCCTAAGTTCTTCCAAAAGCCCATCACATGAGCAACTTTCTTCTAGGCTGTGGGATTAAGTGTCCGCTTGAGGCTCTTAAGAGAACCGCCATCTGTCAAATATAGGGCTGCTCTAGCCATACGGCTAATATGATTGGCTAAGTGGTTGGATCCGGTAACTTGGTGTACCAAACTTGGCGAGGAAGGAAAGAAGCGTGACGGAAAGCTTGGGATGACATGGCGTTTAGCGTTGAACCAAACCCAATGGAGAGCTCCAGTTTTTTCATAGGTCGGCATTACTGAATACTGGTATGGGCAGATGGAAGGGTGACTGAAATTGGCTCAAGGGCGCGGGGAGACGGTAAGAACATTTGCTTGCAGAATTTCTAGTTGGAATAAAACAGCAAAATAGCTAGATGCAATAGAAGGTGGTCAGAATAGACGGACATGATAATCAAGCAAGTACATGAAAATGATAGTGGCTGATCTCCCCGAAAAGACTGCCTAAAAGCAAGAAACTTTCATTGGAGGTACTTACTCCAATAAAATACATAAAAGCGAAATGTCCCCACATATCGACGCAAGCTGGGTAGCAAAGCCTTGCTACGATATTGGGAAGCATCCTCTCGGCGAACTTCAGAAGTTCGAAATGCTCTCATCTGTGTAATTGAGCATGAAGTCCAGTTGGCTCAAGACCACTCTCAGCCTTATTTTCGTAGTTCCCACCCAGGTGAAGGCCAGGAACCCCATGGCTACCCACAATGCCTTGCCTCCCTCTCCCAACGCCTCAATGATCAATTCCTTATAGAACACCGTACCCGGAAAGCCAACCATCACATCCAATACCCATCCTTCCACAACTCTTTCCTATACCCCTCCGTCAACCTCGTATCTTCGCCGTACTCCTGCTGCCAGCCAACGAAGCCCTGATCCAGCACATAAACCTTCTGTTCCTTGACCTCATCCACATCCTCCCACTCCCCATCTTTCTCCCCTTCAGCCTTGTCCTCGGCATTCTTCTTCAGCATCTCGCCCACTCCACTGGCATGCCCTGTGCTCACGCTGCCTTTGCCCATCAGCCGCTCGCGTTCTCTAATGTATCGCAGTGCTGCAGAGGGCCCTCGTTGCTGTGATAGTGCGCAATGGAAGACAACTGCTTCTTTCGAGGCGAGCTTGCGTACTAACTCGGGGGTTTTGATGTCGAGGGTGCGGGAAGGGACGTGGAGGGAGTGTTTGATGTGGCCGCCTATGTGGTCTGCAAAGGTCAGCATTGGTTGTCCTATCCACCGGGGACAATAAAGATATATACCATCATCTCTTACGTCTACAATTGCTATCTTGGATGGCGGTGTTGAGGCATCTAGGTTTGATGAAGAGGTCGATTCGGTGAGAATAATTTGGGAGAGGTTGGTGGCGGTCAGGCGGGGGAGGGTTGCTATCGTGTGGTTTGACATTTTGCGCATGTATGAGACGGTAAAATGGGAACTGCTTGCGGTGCTGTGGAAAAACGGGTGGGTGAGGTCGTGGAGTGGAGTGGAAGGGGAGGTGTAGAAGTCGATATACTATTGTACATATACATCGAGGTTACGGTACTCCGTGCTTTGGCGGGGTTGGATTGGAGGGGTTGGAGGGGAAGTTCTCCACATCAACAAGTTTCACTCCCTAGCAATCTTCATCACCATCTCTTCATCTCCATCTCTTTTTCATCTCACTCCAACTCGAACACAACATGGAGCTATTCACAACTCCAGTTTCAATAAATCTGTACTACTATAAATTCGAAGTACTCTGGCTGGGGTTGAATACTGACTAGGCTACTCGTCTTGACAGTGACCGCAGAAACTTCAAAATCTTGATATATTGCACAGCGATACTTCCTTTATAGGCAGATTGTGCATATTGGCAATTATGAGGAATTACATTAGGTGGTATTACAATTTATAGATCACCAACCCCTGATGGTGACTACACTTCAATTAAGTACACGATCTCAACCCCGAGATGAACATCTATTCCCATAACACCTGAGATGTCCACCACAAACCCACAATTGAAACCCCTTCAGTATCCCTCAGATACAACAACGTTCTTCCAGCCTTTAACTTAATGTAAACTTCCTCGTCCTAGCCCTTCCCCTTGGTTTTGGTTCCCCTCTAATTTCCTGTAACTTCCTCACTCCAGCACGCCATTTGCCCTTAATCCTCTGCTTCAACGTCCTCAATTGCCCAACGTCCTCAACCATCGCTTCCTGTCCCAGTGGTGTTCTCGCTCTTGGTCCCACCACTTGAACCGTCTTCACAGCACTAACTTTCTGTATTGTCTCCGGAAGATCAACCTTGAAAAGCTTCTCCAGGTGTCCGTCCAATATTGCATTAACTCTTTTCTCATGCTCCTCCTCGAGTCCCTTGAAAGCTTGGGCCGAGTCGTCGATGCTGTAGCCACGGGTGTATGAGTGGTTGCGCTTTCGTCCGGAGTTTGCTGATGTTTTTGAGCGGCGGAGGCCTTCAGTTGTGGGGAGGTTGTTTGTGTGTGATGTTTGGAGGAAGTTTTCACGGATTTGGCTGGTCCTCAGTGTTTCTGTGTTGGCAGTAATTTCTTCTCTGTTTTGACTAGTAGACGATTGTCCCCCTTGGAGACTGTCATTGAAACCATTTCTGCTGGTATCCAGGGATTGTGTGCTACTGTTCGTGCCTCGCTTCCTATGATATAAGTCTCCTATATTGGTAGTGCTCATCCCACTAACGCCGCAGCTTGCGATCCATGGACGAGGAGGGGGCAATTCGTCAAGGGAAATGACAGAGTGAGGTGGGCTTCCATATCGGGTCAGAGGGAATTCTGCGGTTGGCTCCTCGGTAGCTGTGATATAGCCGCTGTCACCATGTCCCATTGGATTGTGGGTATTCTTAGAATACCGACTGAGACTCTCGACCGCCGGGTAAAAATCGTCTCCAGAGTCGGAGTCTGATGTAAGGCAAGAGCTGATTTCGTCATAAGTGTTCCTGTAGCAAGCATCTCGAAACCACTGGGGGACTGTTGTACGAGGGCGAGCCATGATGCAAATTTTAGAGTAATTGCTTTGTCTTTTTTCTTGAATTTGTAAATGTTGGAAAGTAAAAGAAATAGAAGAGAATTGAAAAGAACAAAAGGGGTTTTGTGTGGCATGCGTCAGTCCAAACTCCAATCTGTTAGACTTGGAGATAAAAGATATCGGTCCCAGGCTCTGATGAAATGTGAAGTCATAACAAGGAACGGTAGACAGATACTATTTAGTGAGCGGGATGAACCCTAACTTCTCCTGACTTGGTCGCATTTTGAGTCTCACTTGAGACTTGACATCAGATGGACCATGGTATACAACGTTTTGGTGCGAAAGTAGGAGGAGCTAGAAATACGTTATGGCTTAGGTGATATGAAGTACAACGACGATGAAGAATCCGGTTGAAAACTTGCAGTTAGTTGCTTTTAAGTTCTTGCAACCCCAAAATACCGGTACCCCAAGGGGTAGTCTACCATCACTTAGTATAATTTTCTGGTATCACGGGACGATTGCCCCACGTGCTGTGCCCTTCAAAAGCAGAGTCTAGACCATTGTTCAAGAATGGAGCTTTGATGGTGGAGATCGTGAAAGCTCCTCCAAACCCTCACGATTAAACACGTGGAACTTCGGGTTTCGAATTCCCGCGGCTTTTCTATCTCGGGCAAATACGGCTCTTCCACACCCACTATCGATATCACGATGCCTTCATGATACGACTGTTCCCTTGACTCTTTGAAAACGGGCCGAGGAACCTTGGTTGATTCATCGTGATATTCTTTGAGCCATTTTCTGAAGATGCGGGGACTCCGATTTCCATGCCGGAGGGTATTTAGTTAGGCATGAACGGGCCGAGACGATCAGTGGTGTTATTGCTTTGCAGGTAAAAGTGCAACGGACAAGTAGTAAGCAAGTATTTTTGCATGTGTTAAAAGTGAAAGAGGCAATTCTTTGGACTTCTTTTGACGCTGTCATATGCTGGTGGTGGAAAGAAGAGGGGTTTGCTAGTCGTGAACGAAAATTACCGCAGCGCAGATAGCGATGGAGGGGTACATGAGGGGCATGGCATGTCAGTCTGTATCAATACTAGACTCGGCGCAGTTCCGATGATAACAGTTACATGATTCGGTACGTTACCTTTTACGATAACCGACGGATGACATGGCATGGCATGGTACCTTTTCACCATCTAGTGTGTAAGTAGCAAGGTTGAATCTGGCGGGTAGAGAAAGGGTAAGATTCGAATAGGACCGAGCTGGGTTGGGTAAATAGAACGTGTTTATACGGAAATAAAGCCCGAGACATAACGCATACTGCTTAATGGTTAATTTAACAATTATGTTACATATGGGAGTTCTTATACCATACTGAATGCAGAGTATCTCTTGTTCCTGCCCTTGACCCGTTAGTAAGGTATGCGTCATGTGGGCCTTCTCACTTTGAAGTCCGTCGCCAGGAGCCCGAGAAACCAGTAGACCCATCCAATAGTATGACAGCCCGCATTTCCTTTACATGTCATTTGCGGGTGCATGTACGAGCAGATCCAGTTAGTCTCGTCACACTGTGTTCCCTTTCGCCTTCCAATCCCCCGCAAGCCATTTCGCATAGGATAAGTGTAAGTAGCTAGCTAGGTCTCTTGTGCCTTCCTTCTCACTTTACGAAAACTAGTGAAAGTATAAATACCCAGCCATATCGCACCCATCGCAACATTTCCGTTAAATCGCTATCGCAGTCTTGAAATTGTCAAGTCCAGTCTTACTTACCTGCTTTCGTCTAAGCCGTGCTACTCCACTCACTACTCACTGACGTGTGCCCTCACCTATAACAGCTACCCCGCAACATCACCAACCCCAAGCCTGTAACTAATTGCACATCATGGCCACGCAGGGCGTTGAAGATCAGAAGATTGTTATCGACAAGAAGGCCGTTCATTTCGGGGCTGGTAACATCGGGCGTGGGTTTGTTGCTGAGTTGTAAGTTTAATTCCTCCGAATTTCTCTAGGCTTAGATTGACATCATCTACAGCTTACATAAATCGGGGTACGAAGTTGTTTTCTGTGATGTTGAGGAAGACATCATCGAAAAACTGCAACGGAATAAGTCTTATAAAGTCATCCAGGTCGGAGCAGAAGGCAACACCGTATCCACCATCGAAGATTACAGAGCCATCAACTCCAAGACAAACGAAGCCGATGTGATCGAAGAGATTAGTACCGCAGACGTCGTCACTTGCTCCGTCGGTCCAAACGTCCTCAAGTTCATCGCTCCTGTCATTGCAAAGGGGATCGACGCCCGATCAAATGATGCCACCCCCATCGCTGTCATTGCATGCGAAAATGCTATTGGGGCAACAGACACACTTGCCAACTACATCAAGCATGAGGACAATACTCCCGGACATCGCTTGGAGGACCACCACGAGAGAGCACGATTTGCAAATTCGGCGATTGACCGCATTGTTCCTGAGCAACCCGTAGATAAAGTTACCAAGAAGCCACTATTGGAGGTCAAGCTGGAGAAGTTCTCTGAGTGGATCGTCGACAAAACACCATTCAGTGACCACCAATGCCCCCCAATCAAAGGTATCCACTGGGAACCAAATCTCTTCCGATTCATCGAGAGAAAACTATTCACCGTCAATACCGGCCATGCTGCCGCCGCCTACCACGGCTACTTCCACAGGAAGACGACCGTTTACGACGCTCTACAAGACCCAATAATCCTTAACGAAGTCCGCCGAGCGCTCTCGGAAACAAGCACATTAATTGTAGGAAAACATGGATTCACAACAGAAGAACAAAACGCATATGTTGAAGAAATTATCGTCCGAATCGGCAATCCTCATCTCGAGGACAACGTGGAGCGCGTAGGTCGTGCACCTCTCCGTAAGCTGAGCCGCAAGGAACGCTTCATTTGCCCAGCTGCAGAACTTGCTGAGGAGGGCAAGGACTTCCAAGCTCTCCTCGATGCAGCCGAGATGGCATTCCGCTTCCAGAATGTCAAAGGGGATGAAGAGAGTGTAGAGCTGGCAAAGATCATGGCAGGCAAATCGCCAGAAGAAGTGGTGGAGAAGGTGTGCGGGTTAAATCCACAAGACAAGATCTTCCCTCATGTAGTTGAGGTGGTAAAGAGGGTGCAAGCTGATGCATAGAATGCTCAGATTAGGGTTTGAAGCTTTATATCGGCGAATTGGGATTGGATTGGATTGGATTGGATTGGACTGGACTATGAGATTACGAGCGTGGGTACCTAGGTAGGCTTTTATTTGGTGTGTAAACACATGATATATATATGTAGTCCTGAGAGAATGACAAGGTACTGACTGGTATTCTCCATTGAGAGATAAGCCGTATCATGACAAGCAATTGATACACAAGTTAAAAGTTTAAATACAAAAACAAGTATTATAGTATGATTCTACTGTCTGGTGGAAGTGTTGCCGTGCAAAAATGCATGCTGTCCTCAAAACGAAGGACTTACCTAGGTCTTAACATAAAGCCAGTGTAGTGTAGTGCAGTCCACCACCACCACCAAAATATACCGCCCCACTTATCTTTAGCGAGCGGCCGCGAAGCTCCAAAGACCACGAATATCAAAATCGCAACGATATCAACTCCAAATACGACTCCCACCTCCTCCCACCTTTTTCTACCTCTGCGCTACATCTACGAAGTCGGGAATAAGCTCATCTCTGATACAGCCGCCGGCTCCTCCTCATCCCGACTTGTACGACTGTTCACGAACAATTACATTCCCCTGAGTGGCCTCTGTCTCTCCCTGGCATCCACGTTCATTTCTTCTCCCCCTTGCAGCGCCCGCAATTGGCGTAGTAGTTGGCCAGTATGCGGTTAGATGTGAAGGTGCGTTACTATTCTCCTGAATTGCGTCCCTGAGATAGATATGTTGGGTTGGGGAAAGAATTTGGGAGTGGCATCAGTGCCCTTCCCCAAGAAGGACACCAAGACCAGGAACAAGAGTCTGCAGCTGCGTGAAAGCATTGTGGTGGGCAAGATGCCTTCAAACACTGCTAATTCTTTTTACAAAATACAGAGACAGTTGTTTGCGCGGAGCGAGAGAGTCAAGGGGATAGATTTCCACCCGGTTGAGCCTTGGATCTTGACCACCTTATATAGCGGTATGTCCCAGCGGCGCATAGCAATTAGGGACTGTTGCTGATGTGAATATCCTCTAGGTCATGTCTACATATGGTCCTACGAGACTCAGGTACAATCGACCCCTCTGCTGCCTTTGCGCCCTCCACTAACCCTGCCTCTAGGCGATTGTCAAGACTTTCGAATTGACAGATGTTCCAGTCCGAGCTGGCCGCTTCATCGCGCGCAAGAACTGGATTGTGTGCGGCTCAGATGACTTTCAGCTGCGAGTATACAACTACAACACCTCCGAGAAGATCACCTCATTCGAAGCGCACCCCGATTACATACGAGCCATCGTCGTCCACCCCTCTCAACCCTTCGTCCTTACCGCTTCAGATGACATGACTATCAAGCTATGGGACTGGGACAAGGGATGGAAATGTGTGCAGATTTTTGAGGGCCACAGCCATTATGTTATGGGTCTTGCGATTAACCCCAAGGACACGAATACCTTTGCATCAGCATGTTTGGATCGGACAGTCAAGATTTGGAGCTTGGGATCATCGACGGCGAATTTTACACTTGAAGCACATGAGACGAAGGGTGTCAACCACGTTGACTACTACCCTCAATCCGACAAGCCATATCTCCTCACTACATCGGATGATAGGACGGTGAAGATATGGGATTACACTACGAAGTCATTGATCGCCACACTAGAAGGCCATACTAGTAATGTTTCTTTTGCATGCTATCACCCCGAATTACCTGTCATTATCTCCGGTTCCGAGGACGGCACGGTCAAGATATGGCACGCCAACACCTACAGGCTCGAGCAATCACTGAACTATGGTCTGGAGAGAGCTTGGTGTGTCAGCTACCAAAAAGGCAAGCAGGGTGTTGCTGTGGGTTTTGACGAAGGTGCTGTGGTTGTAAAGATGGGACGAGAAGAGCCAGCAGTATCGATGGATAACTCCGGAAAATTGATTTGGGCTAGACATAGCGAAGTTGTGTCGTCAATAATCAAAGGTGGTGGTAAGTTTGCCCTCAATTTAGTGAGGTTGAAATGCTAACAAAGCTCTAGATGCTTCTTTGAAAGACAGCGATCCCATCTCTCTCCCTACAAAAGATCTCGGAACGTGCGAAGTATACCCACAAACCCTCCTCCACTCCCCGAATGGTCGTTTTGTTTCCGTCTGCGGTGATGGGGAATTTATCATTTATACAGCCCTAGCATGGAGAAATAAGGCTTTTGGTTCGGCGCTCGATTTTGTATGGGGATCGAAAGACAATAGCAACGATTATGCCATCCGCGAATCTGCGACGAGCGTCAAGATCTTCAAGAATTTTGTAGAGAAAGCTGGCGGACTCGATGTTGGCTTCCAAGCCGAGGGTTTGACGGGAGGCGTCTTGCTTGGTGTTAAGGGTCAAGGCGGTGTTGGTTTCTACGATTGGCAGACTGGTGGCTTGGTTCGGAGGATTGAGGTTGATCCAAAAGAGGTGCGTGCTTTTTTAAGTTGTGCGAATCTTTTGCTGACAACTACAGGTCTACTGGTCCGAAAATGGCGAACTTGTTTCGATTGCTTGCGAAGATACTTTTTATGTTCTCCGATTCTCGCGAGATAACTACATTTCTGCTGTTCAAAATGGAGAAGTCGAAGATGATGGAGTAGAAGCAGCTTTTGAAGTGGTCACTGACATCAATGAGAGGTATGTTTATTGCTTTGAAGAGGGTAGAGTTTTCTAACAATCTTCAGCGTCCGTACCGGAGAATGGGTCGGCGACTGCTTCATCTACACCAACAGTACGAATCGTCTGAATTACCTAGTCGGTGACCAAACGTACACTATCTCCCATTTCGACCAACCTACGTACCTCCTTGGCTATATCCAGCGAGATTCGCGGATTTACCTCGCCGATAAGGATGTCAACGTCACTTCTTTTGCCCTTTCGCTTTCCGTTGTCGAATACCAGACACTTGTCCTCCGTGATGACATGGAATCAGCGGCCGAGCTTCTTCCTTCCATTCCCCATGACCAGCTCAACAAGATCGCACGTTTCTTGGAAGGCCAAGGCCACAAGGAGCTCGCTCTCGAGGTTGCCACAGACTCGGAACATAAATTCGAGCTAGCACTTGGCCTCGGACACTTGGAAATTGCATTAGAGCTTGCAAGAGAAGCGAATGCGGAACACAAGTGGAAGACCGTTGGTGATGCGGCTCTTGCAGCCTGGGACGTTGCACTCGCGGCGGAATGTTTCAAGAATGCTAAGGATCTTGGCTCATTACTGCTGCTTCATTCTTCAACAGGCGATAGAGAAGGACTACAGGCATTGAGTCTACAGGCTCAAGAGGCAGGCGCGCATAATGTTGCTTTTACCTGTCTGTGGCAACTTGCTGATGTAGAAGGTTGCATCGATCTCCTTACCAGGACTGGGCGCACAGCGGAAGCGGTGTTGTTCTCACAGACGTACAAGCCTAGTCTTACCGTCAAGACGGTGGGCTTGTGGAAGCAGAGTTTGGAGCAGGAAAAGAAAGGCAGAGTAGCGAAGACGGTAGGTGTACCCGGTGAGGACGAGGAGTTGTTCCCCGAATGGGAAGAATACTTGAAGCTGGAAAGTGAAGGGGGTGTCAATCTCATTGATGTCAATGGCGATGTGGAGGACGTTAATGGCGATCCTGCGGATTCTGAAGAAGTCGAAGTAGAGGCGTAACTGTTTTTGGTATCCTAGTACTGGGACTCAGGCTGGAGGATGGATATGTAGCAGGCGTAGCCATAAAAAATAAATGTCGAATTTTACTCCAGGGGCCGTTTTATGGCATGGAGGCAAGCGCCCTGGGTGATAGGTAGGTGAGGAAACCCCCCTGTGCACGTTGCATTGAGCGCTGGGATGCAGAAGGCACCTATCCCGACAGGCTCTCTTGTCCTGCACGCTGACAATCAATCACTCGATTTGCTTGCCATTGCAGGAACCCTTGTTTCCGAGTTCGCAATTGCCAAGCCTTGGTTTCTCTTCCAATCATCCAGCACTTCCAACACAACCAACATCTCTGCCAACACTATCCATGTTTTTCTCTCCCACCTTAGGAAGACAACCCTTCCAAATCAATCATGATGTACTCTATCAAAAAAGCCCCGGCCTTATAATATCCATCCCAATCGCCAGGAGTGAGGCTACTGACATGCTGGCGATCATTATTGTTACCTGCCCTTTCGTCGTAAATGTGCTTTGAGTTTACGTTCTCTTCTCCCGAATACGTTTGGTGTTCCTGGTGGCCTTCATCTCCATAATGGGTAGCACCCCAGGCTCAGAATATATGTGCGAGGCTGCCGCTGTAATTACTTGTCTTACAACCGAAATTTCAGCCGCCTTCGAGGGAGAAAATATTCCGCCGGCAAACGTGCAAAATGACACCACAAGTACCACGGATCATCTTGATAGGTCTGCTGTTGCTGCAGCTTCTAGTCCTTGTTCAAAGCTTCTCGGAAATCCGCAAAATGTGCCCCAAACGTAAGGATTTCTTTTCTCCTCCCAGTAAAAATATTAGGTGCTTATATATCATAAAGACCAGATACAAAATACGAACAAGTGGAGTCCGTCGACTTTCCAGGGAGAATATCTAACATGCCGTGTGAACGATGCAAGTGTTTTTCTGTCGAAGACCTATCTCAGTCTCGGCTGTCATATTACCTCGAAGACATCCTCCCTGATTTGCCAAAGCTCAGGTCCTCCTCGGAGAATGGCTGCGGTCTTTGTAGTGACCTAGTGGAATTTATAACTTCACATCTCGATGGGTCAACTGATTGGCCATTGGCCAAACCTTATGGTATTGAAGTTACCGCCAAGTTAAATACAAAAAAGCCATCTCTATCTACGTTTAGTGGCTTTAACGTGCGCTTCGTTTCTGAAAAGGGAGATCAATCATTACGCGTAGTGTACCGTAAATATGCTCCCAGGAGTGAGTGGATGCCCTTTGATTGAGCCACAGACTTTTTAAGTTGTTCATTGACTTTTCCGACAGCCAGGTCCGTCGATATAAGAATTCCGCGTCTTCGGACTTCTTCAACCCTTTCTCTCGAGAACATATCTATGGTGCGGAGTTGGATTATAGATTGCGAGACTACTCACGACAATTGCCCGAATGTCGGCGAAGTCTGTCTGCCAACTCGAGTCATTGATGTTTCGATTCCAATACCTCTTCTTGCCGAGTCTTCGGGACGAATAGGACGTTATGCAACCCTTTCGTATTGCTGGGGCATATCGCAGGAAAATTCCTACGAGGACCAATATATGACTAAATCCAATACAATCACTTCTCGGATTCGAGGCATGCCACTTGAAGAAATGCCTCAAACCTTCCAGGATGCGGTAAAGACAACTAGATTCCTTGAGATACAATATCTTTGGATCGATGCACTTTGCATTATACAAGACGATCTTAAGGACAAAGAAAAAGAAATTCCCAAGATGACATCAATCTACAAGAATGCGATAATAACTCTCTCAGCAATACAAGCAACAAATAGCAAGACAGGATTTCTTGCTCGAGATGCCATACCAGCCCCAACAATCATCATGCCATACTTATCTTTCAAAGCCGCCCCTCAATCATGTTATTATATGTATGCTGAGCGAGACCAGAAAGCAAGCTCTCAGATAGAAAATAGATGGGGAGGTGATGTTGACAGTTCTGAATGGGATAAAAGAGCGTGGACTTTCCAAGAACGCCTGATATCTCGTCGAATACTTCACTTCACCCAGAAAGCCCTCTTTTTTGAATGTCATACATCAGATATATCAGAAGATGAATACTCGCATGGTATTCACATGTCTACTAAGCCTCCTAGGCAAAACCGTGTGATTGGGACATTAGAGCGTCTTCCGGACCAATTCGTGGTACTTATATTCTTGATGTCTCGAAACGTTCGGGATCTTAAACGGTTTCCCTTTTTCTTGTTTTCCCTTATTAGGCAATACTAATTTGGAGAACATGCAGGTGGACAAGCGAAAGCTTTTTAATACTTACTACAATCTAGTCGCGCGCTATTCAAGTAGATCACTGAGCTACCAAGACGACAAGGAGAATGCGTTCTTCGTAGTCATCTCGCGGTTCAAAGAGGTTCTGCCATCCCAATATGCGGCTGGTATCTGGTTGTGTGATATAACTCAAGTAAGCATCTCTTCGCAAAATCTCACGTCTACATAGTTGGTCATGACACTACCCCTAAAATATTGTTCTCGGCCAAGGTAGAACTTTGAGCAGGTAGAATATTGTTTCAGCCTGCAAACTCTACTATAGCTACTAATACAGATCTATATATTAGGGTCTTTTGTGGGAAAAATCAAAGTGCATACAACAATCTAACACTACTGTTGCAAGTGAAAATATGTGGCCTTCGTGGTCCTGGATTAGCGTGATGGGTGGGGTGTGTATACAAGTCTATTTTCTAAATTCCTCGGGAGTGCTAGCATTTCAAAAAACAACTCCTGAAGTTCCAATCCTTCTTTTTGGGGGCGAATATTGACTTCGTAAACTTGTAGGTCTTTTGGATCTTTGGACCAAACGCCAACCGCCCCCAGCTACAGGGTTTCGGTAGCTCTGATCAGACACCTAGCTATGAACCTCCAGGTAAGGAAACAGGGAATGCTATTCATCTTCCGATATGGTAAATTTCAGATGTCATTAAAAGTGTTATATGGCTTTAATATGCTCCACGACTTTCAAATCATTGATCCGTACCCTCTGAAGAAGTCAAGCTGATACCCCTTTCTTCGTAGGCGACGGTACACCCGCAAAGCTACACGTTCCAGCTGTCATGGTGAATATAGATCAATATATCATAGACACTCGAAGTGTACACAATTCCCGAGCCGTTAGGATTAAGCTCCAGGGAGATACCTTCGGTTATGGTGATTTAGATGGTAGGTCATCGCAGATACCATTTCAAATTTTTGTCCCGAGGTTCACGAGTCAGCGATTGTCTGACGGATATTATCGTGTACCCCCGAAATCTCTATCTCCTAAATGTAAAGCTAACTCCCCATTCCCCGCCAGATTACAGTATTGAGCCAGCCTCCATGCTTATGTGTTGTATTGGAAAAAAGACCGAGTACGTGAAGTATAAGGGGCTGGCAATTGGAGGGCTGTTAGTTGAGCCAGTAGTTGGCGAAAATAATTGTTTCCGTCGAGTCGGATTTTTTGAGTCCTCAGGCCAGCCAGAATGGCAGTTGAACATGCTGGACAATGATATTGAGTATGAAGAACTCGCTGAGGATGCAACGCGTTTGGGACGAAAACATTATGAGCGTTTCAGTGATTTCATTTTTGGTCGATCTGTGGCTTCTATTACGCTGGTTTAGCTCTTCTGCTGGATGATTCAGAGACTAGATGAGATGAACAAGACTACAACTCTAGTCTCCAATGCCCAGTTAAGGCTGTTGGGATGGAGAACGAACGTGAAGGTTGTATGTGCGTATTATTTCAGCGAGGTCAGGTTAAATGGATATTTCCCGAAGTCTGGCGTGTGACTTAAACAAAGACAAGCTATCAGTTCTAGCATAAGTCTTTTTCTGACCTTTCTGGTACTCCTAACGCTTCCGACACTTCTTTCTGGCACTTCTTTCTAACAAGCTACTGTTATACAGCCTCGATCACAGTAGCGTGGGTTACCCAGGGGTTTAGGCGATACTTATGACCTCCGCATTCTTGCATCATCTTTTGAATAACCCATGAGCGTCTATAGATGGACAAGATGTTGAAACAACTAACGGGCCAATTTACGCCTAGTCCTGAACAGACTATTGGCCCGGATCAGCATGGGCGGATGCTATCACTATAGTGTTGCTCATATATAAGAAAGATAATGCTGTCTCACAATCATAAATATCTTCGAGTTTCTTCTAATATTCTCATCATTCAACCAATCTCTATGATGATACAAGACCAACAGACTACTAGGATCTTACAATCAACATAACATCAATTCCTCTCACAACCAGCGCCGACTAGGCCTCATTCTCCGCACCAAACGCTGATTTCGAGCGGATTTCCTCAATAACCTCTACTATTCCAAGCCAATTCCGCACGGCTTCCCCCCTTGGGATTAATAAGCACTGAGGTACGGCCCCACCTTGTTTCAAGTTGGCATTTTCTTATGTTACACAAGTATATAGCAGGCCTCAGGCCAATGGATATTTCTTCTGGATCTCAAAGCTTCTGAGTTAGATCATACTTAATAGATATACCGAACAATGTTATCGCTATTATTCAGTTCCCAGACCTTCCCCTGATCCTCAGACAAATTCAAAAGCTTGTCAATAGCAGCCTGGACACTTGGTTTAGACGCCAGTACAGCAAAAGTAGCTTGATCCTTCACAAACATCTCCTGTGTAGGCTTCTGCTGTGAGACTGACTTCTTCGTCGCCCTCAAAGTATCTACCTCGAATTTCGCAATCCTTGTCACTTAGGTATCAACATGATTCCGTAGTGTCTCTGCCGAAGTGTACGCCGAATTAACCCAGCCGATGCTGGCTGCTTCCGTGGCATTTACTTGTGCCGATGACAGCATGTATTCCATAGTTCGAGATGGTCCTATTGACTCCACGAGCCATTGCAAAGCACCAACATGAATGACTCCAAGAGCATCTTCAGGTGCGCTGAAAACTGCATCCGGACCGGCAAATCGCATATCCATACGCTACTAATACTTAGTACAGTACTATCATGACAGTAAATAGCAACAATCGGGAGGAGGAAAGACTCTTCAGAGGTTCCAGCACAGAAAAGTCATGGAGCAATCAAGAAAGGGTTAGATACCATAAGATGCTCATCACCAGAACCCCAAGCCCGACCAGTAATCTCGCCGACAAAAATTACCGGGATAGAGGAGAGCAAGTTCAAGTTTTCATAGTACATGACCAGCGTGTCCGTTACGTTGACCACAGGTGAAGGGGGGTGCGCGGCACTCAGGAGGTGAAGATCAAGGTGGGCAATGTAAAAGTCTGGGACATCGCTTGAGATGACAACAACTTTAGGTGTAGTCGCAGCAGTGCTGTTTATTGAAAGCAGTTACGAGTTGAATTCTTGGATCAGTTGTGCGTTCCAGAGATTAATAGGTGGATTGGAGATGGTGATGCGCGTGGCACTGCAATCTGGGTTTATGCAGGACTTCTTGAGTAGCTGATATGGAAATAGATCGTTGCCACGAGTATGTGGGATTGTAGTAACAGCTTGAGATATCAAAGCCAGGCCAAACCAGAGCAAGGACTTTATGGTCATGTTTGAATTTGCTATATCGAACGAGAATGAAGAATTGTCTGGGAGCAACTCACTGTCGAGTTTCGATATGCTTCTTATATAGAGCGATCTGGGTATTTGAAATCGAACATAATCAGACAAATGTTTACTTTCAGAAAGTTCAAGTGTTGGGAGGTTTACATAGCCTTTCAGCATTATACTTCTCACCGCAGCAATGATTTCTAAGTAGAAACGCTGTTATTGGCGGCTTCTCATTTGAATAAACGCCGATGATACGATCCACAAAAGAAAAATGTTCCTGATCAGTAATTATTCTCAAGTATCTTAGATAATATGCGTGACGCAAGCTATGGTATTATGTGCTAGAATTAGTTATCATGCGGACTTGATGCATGTCAGACAACTCCAGAACTCTAGTCATCTCCCTTTGCCATTCAAGTATTGCCTATCGCATCTGACATCTGGGATGAAAGTTCGAAATGACTCTCGAATTTTGCTATCACACTTAGTCTCCCGGATCCATAAAATTCAATATCTAAAGCATACCAAAAACGAGCTATAAATACAATGGCGTGGGAACCAGTTGGGTCTTGAAAGAGAATAAAAAGCGATGAACTTGCAAGCCACTCATAAGAAATTTTAATTCGCAATCCATATCGCTGGATTGTGACTTAGGAAACAAAGAAAAGACAGCAGAGCAGTAAAACCATAAATTACACAAGCCGTTGGGTTCTAGCATTCAAGCTAGTAACGGTGCATCTACATGTTTTGAAACCTTTAGGCAAGAATCAGATAAATCATTCGAGTTGAGATTGGAAGAATGCTGGTTTCATGGAAATCATAACTCAAATAATAATAGCAGCAGCCATAGCAAATGCTGTCATCCAGCTCTTATCCTCGTATTAGGGGTGCCCGCCCCGCCTACACCTGTCAAACTAACTCGCTAAAGCCCCTGAATGAGATTCTTGGGGTTATTCCCTAGCCTGGCACGCTCAAAACTACACCGCAGACATGGATTAGAAGTGAGTATTGTTAGAAAGCGATTATAAAGTGGGGTTGCTGTTCAACCGGAACCGTCTTATCCAGGATTGGATGTTGGTAAATGGATTCGACCTTGCTTTAACTCCAAAGGCAATACGCAAAGCTAGGTAAAAAGAAGAGTGAATAATGTCTTAGGTGCCTACACCACTGAGCACCAAGATTTTGGACATCTTCGATTAGGGGTGGGGTGGGAGACATGTTTTCAAGCGCTAGCTGGGTTACATCGACTCTTACAGCAAGTCAATAATAAAGCTGCAGATTATTTCTATACCACCCAAGCACCGGAAGCGAAGGTATCTTCCCGAAGCCCACTACGGATTCCAGTACTAGTAAATAGTGAGATGAACGGTGACGAGTTAAACATGATGGATAGTATATGTATGCATTTTATCCCACTACCCGTGGTACATCAAATGCCAAACCTCCTATCTACGGGCAGAGAATATACGCAGAATTACAACGGATACACTAAAAAGTAGCAACCAACCCATCCCAGATTCGTAAACCTTGCTTGCTTGCGTGCGTGCGCCCAAACTCCAGATGTACAAATGAGCATCTCCCCACGCAGACTCAGAACGCCGATATCCATCCGTCCTGTGATATAAACATCGAGGGCATTATGACAGCCTATCATCCATCTCTCTTATACTCTAACTTTATTCAAAAGTTACACTTCTTCGTCCCCTCCCCATCTCACTCTTCATAATCCATCTCAACTTCCACCCTTGTTCCCAACGCCTCTTTCCCTTCTCGAATCATAGCTTTTAATTGCCGCTCTAACCTCCTCATACTCTCATCCGCCTCCCTCTCCTCCTGCTTCTTCTGCGCTACCCATCTCTGCGCTTCTTTTGCTGCAGGACTTTCCATTGTCTTATTAAGGCTCTGCATCGGAGTGCTTGGTCGGGGAATTTTGCTGTTCGGACTTGAACGAGCTGATGCAAATGAAGCGCCGCGTGATGGTGTTAGTGCTGGCGAGCCGGCATGCGAGACTCGTGATAGCATCGGGCGTCTTGGTGCTGTGCCTGCGCGCGATGCTGGGCGGGCTGGTGCAGTTGAACGACGGCCGGAAGAGGACGTGGTTGGCATGCTGTATCTCGCTGCCCCTCCTGCTCTAGGTTGCGGTCTTGACGGGGTGATATTTTCAGTTGCAGGCGGCGGAACAACGACCCAATTTTTTGCAAGCTCTTCATTTTGGGTATTATTCCTACTGACCTGCCTGCGCTTACTCGGTCTCGCTTCCGGTGTTGGGCGTTGATCTAGGTAGTTGGGTATGAATTCCTCTTCTGGAAAGCGTCCTGGTACGGGTGTGGATTCACGATCTGGTGGTCCCCATGTACTGAAGTTCTTTTCCGTCTCCCAAAAACTCGGTTCTTCGACTTGATAGGGGTTGGATTCGGTATTAGTGTTGAGTGTATAGCCTTGACCACCACCGGCATGAAAACCCCTGAATACTGCACCTCCCCATTGCCAAATCTTGCCCAAGACTGCCTTTCCCCAACCATTCGTAGTCGGACTGTCCCATCCCACCGGTCGACCATTTCCTTGTCTCCCATCAGGGGGTAGTGGGCCATCAAGATCGGAGAATAATCCTCTGCGCGTCTCATGCATATCCCCGTCTAGCTGTTTCCTATACGAAGCATCGCCATATTCGCTCTCGCCCAACTGCAAAGCCCTCATAGTAGGCGTGTCCATGCCACCCGCTAGCACATATTTCGTGTTCACCAATGGTTGAGGGGAGCCTGGGCATCGATCCATTGCACCATCCTCATCATCCATCGCACGGCTTCTCTTTCCCGGCGCAAGGTGGGGGCGGGCAGATGAGGTAGACGTAGTGATAGAGTTCGTGGAGCGCGTGAGGATTAGAGAGGAAGAGGCGGAATCAGAGCGAGTGCGTGGTGGTTGGAAGATGTGTGACTTTGCACCGGAGAGTCGCGGTGGCGCGATGTTGGATGGCATTGGAGAGGGGTTATTGAAGTGCGCCATGATGGTTTGCGCATCAGATTATGATGGCGATGAAGATGAAAATTGTCGCATGCGTTGAGTTGCAAAGGTTGTTGCGGATGTGATGTAGGTATCGTTGTACAAGATGCAATCGCCGAGGCTGATAGGAAGGTAAGACACCCGCTATAGCTGCAATATCGTGGCAAGCTATTCTAAGCTGGGTGAACAGGAGTGCGAATCTAATGCGAATGCGACAAGGAACGAGGATATAAAAATTTTAAAGCTGGATTCAATAATGCACGGACAGGCGATAAGAGAAAGGTGAGGCAGATGAAGCTCTTGTTGCTCGGCCAAATCCCCGCACGTAAACAATACCGAAGGCGGTGAGGATTCTGCCACCACGAATTGAAAGTGAAAAGTTGCGAATAGCTTCACATGCAAAGTTTTGATAGAAATAGACAGAATCTTATATGTTTGTAGTCAAGTCTTCATGAAAGTCATGGATTTCATCTAATCATTGCGGTAAAAACCAGTGGTATCCGTCTAACGCAACGCGATGTAATACAACGCAAATGTAATATCAAGCGACGCAAAACCCCCTCTAGCAACCACATAACTCCGTTTGATGTCCTGTAGCCTATCCAACCCGCCTGCCCTATCCCCCAAGCCTTAATCTCCCGACTTTCATAGCACTCCAACTGTTCTTAAACCACACCCTCTACCCGTTACACCTTGTCACTCTTTTTATGCTCGACCCCGCCCCAAAACTCCTCCCGCTCCTTCAACAACTCATCAGCCCAGTCCTTCACCTCCTGCATAACAATATTTGATGCCACCCACGAGAACTCTCCCAGATCCAGCCTCTTTTCCTCGACCCGCTCATACTCCACCATCTGCAACACCAACTCAATCTTATCAACATCGTGCACGAACTTGCTCTCTAGCGTCTCCGAGTCCTCGTATTCCTGCCACACAGCCCGGAGTTCCACGCCCGTTATGCCGTTGTTGACTTTTTTGAGGAGGGACTGCGTGAAGTAATCCATCGTTGTGCTTTCGCGCCGGTTCTTCTCGGGTTTCGAGACCCCGTCAACGGGCGTGATGTCTCCCACTAATGCCTCTGCCATGTCGTGCACAAGCGCCATCTTTGTGCAGTGGGGGATATTGAGGCGTGACGAGAGGGAGGGCGGCGCAAACATGGTGATGAGGGCCATGCGGTACATGTGGTCGGATATCGATTCGCCTCTGCGGCAATTTCATATTAGCAGAGTTGGCATGCGGGAATAGTTGGGGGCAGGTACTGCGTGATGTTAAACCTGCGCCATCCTTCACGCTTGGTTGTCTTGAGGCGCTCCAGCATATGGAAGAAGGGGACGGGGGAGGACGAGTTGCTTTGTGGTGGTCCTCCAGGGAGTGATGCTACCACTTGTTCAACGGACCATGGTGTCTGCGGGCTGGAGTTGTTTAGGAGGCCTTGGGGGATATTAGCAGAGTCACAACTTGCTACTGGAGTGAAGCTTGCCTGCATCACCGGTTTTGTTTCCGTTGACAGCCATATTAACTGTGAGGCTGAGAAGTGTGGAAGATAGATGAAGGTTGCGCTACAGGGCGATACTGGCACTTTATATAGAAGATCAAAACAACGAAATGTTGTGTTTGAAAATGCGCAAGCATGAAATGTCTTGGTTTGGTGGTTTGCTTTTGTTTGTATATCAGAATTGTATTATTGGACTTGTGGAAATCCGGCAAACAACGGATAGTGGGGAAATCTTACCCCACTACGGCATGTCGAGAGTGGGGTACCTAATGGGACCCACTTGAATATAAAACATCGACCATATGCTTCTACTTTATATATCTTCATATATCCAAAGTCCCGCGACTAGTCCATTCATTCATTCAGACATCTAGGAATCAGCTAACCAAGGTACTGGGGAAGTTCTAAAGTGCAAGTATCAGCAGATGATCCCAAAGGGTCAAGTGACAAGTCCTTGCACATCATCAAGTGATCAAAATTGTTCCAATGTTAGTAGAGCGCTCATCAACCTTCCACACATGTATTCATAGCTCTCGCCTCCCCAAAAACTGACCAACAGAAGAGCAGCACAGCGTTCCAGGGATTCCAGCCCCGCCTCCGCCCTCACCCATTCCTCCTAGTCGTATTCCACGTCCAGAGCCAAGAAGGCACAATACCAGCTCCCAAAGGCCATTTTCTTTCTGTTTTTGAATGTACTCCAAGCTATACAAAGGGGCGAAATATAGGTTCTTCAAAACTTTTACAACTTCCAGGTTGCTTTTCAGAACTTCGCTAGCTAAAGCCGCTCAAAAAGCAGTATCTTTTGCTACTGCGTCTAGTGATACATATATCCAGGGACCACTATAGCACTTGAAGCTATTTGAAATGTACCTTTTTTTCTATTGTGAATTTTCGTTTTTTGGTGTTTTTCCTGGGCAAATCTAGCAGTCAGGGGCAACTCGCTTGGTTAGCCCTTCTTTGGGACTCGGCATCCAGAGACTGTTGATATAAAAGGGATAGGCATACTTTCAAGTGTATAGAAGTATAGTTTGTGCAGACCCTTTCCGAGTTTTAAACATGGGAATCATCACGAGGCATTGGTGGGAACATTCCTTTCACCTGTGAATCAAGCGCTCTGGATCCCCGGCTTCAAAATCGGTGACTAGCTTTCCTTCCCATTATTTACTTCCCACGTTATTCATCACCCTCGTTGATTGTACCACTCTCCGTTTCCATATCTTAGTATTCCCGCCTTCACACATACACACCTTATCTTACCTGTCAAAATCTTTTTACACCTGGTTTACACCAAGTCTTGAAACCACAGCCACCCAGCAGAATGTCAAACGCTAAAAACATCCTATCCACCGACGAGAAACTCCACAACCGCGACTACCTCTGGATAGACATCAACCTCGAAAGCAACGAAGTGACACAAAACGAAGTGCTAGAGCCCTCCATCCAAACCTTCATCGATTCCCTCGACACGTTCAAGTCACTGCCGTTAGAATCTTCCGGCCCAATTTTCCAGCGCGTTGTGTTTAGGGGGAGGCGGAAGGACGTTTTTCATACGCACGATGGAGGATTCTTACCGGAAGATGAAGAGGTGTCTGATGGTTCATACAAGGGCAAGACAGAGTCACTTATTGCGGATGATTTGAGTGAGGGGAGTGAGAAGAGCGGGAGGAGTGAGGAAGGTTCTGAAGTTGAGGAAGGGGAAGCATCCAAGGGTAAAGTCACAGATGGAGGGAAGTCCAAAGTGCCAGCTACCAAGAAACTGCGGAAAGCGGTTCGTGCGGAAGATGACGCGATTCGCAGTAGCGATGCGGATGGTGAATTCAGCGGCCGAACGGAAATTGGTCTTGCGGCTGCTTGCACGGTAGTATTTATCGCAGGAGTATGGATTTTGGGAAGTTAGATGGATAGATGGAATCTGGCGAATGTAGTTTTGAGGTGGCAATATGCTAGCAATCCTTTCGAATGTTTTCGGTCTCTTTTCACAAGTAGTATGTCTATTTCAAGGTCATATGATGCAGCTTGTAGTCTGATTCAAAAGGAAGAATTTGTCTGCCATTTCCCAGTCATCCTCTATAAACATACCACGGTATATTCTAATCATAAGATGAAGCTGCCTTTAGCTAGATCGACGATATAAGATCAGACTTTACGTTAGTCGCCCACGACCAAATGGGAAGTTATGATTATCCATTAGCGAATGAGAAGCCGGTTCATGACGTGAAATAGACGATTAACTCGAAAAGGAAGCTTAGACATGTCGACCCCTGAGCCGAAGCGGAAGGATTCAGGGACCGAAGCTAAGAATGCAGACAGCAGCTTGATCTGATCCGCTTGTTTGGGGGTAAGTCGCTCTCCACAACTTGAAAAATGGTTTAGATGGTGCATGTGCCATGATCAATGGCCTTGATAGGCTTGAGATGTTATATCGGGCCGATCGAATTCCTGAAAGATACATGTTACTTATGCATGTACGATGGCAGGTACTACCCCACATGCATATGCAAAGACTATATGACACGATGGATTCCCCTTTTGCGATAGTAGAAGGGTTTTTAACTGCTCTGTCGGTAAGTTTATGAGAAATGGCACCTATTCTCACCCACTTCGTTGTTGCAATTCTCATTGCTCAGGCATATTGTATCCCAACCTCTAGAAAAGAACGAAGTGAAGCGGTCTTGCCAGACTTCGTCAACACCTATGGTAGGTTATTCATCCCTTGTCGGAGACTATTACTTACAAACAATTGTGGATTATATTACTCGCCTTGTGATCTGTACTGATATGTGAATTCAGCACCTATGGTATATCTTCATTCTACCGAGAACTACTTTCCCTCAGACCTAGGCGCTCAAATAGCAAACACACAGCCAGAGATTGATTATGAAGTGGTGGAAGGAGCGCCAAGTCCCCTGACGCTCGACAATCTTGATTCTCTAAACGCACTCAACGGCAGCAACATCTACTTAACTTCCATTGAAAGCACCACTTCCAATCCCCAACCAGAATGGCTGAAAGGTGTTGTCCCTGATTCGACCGGCAAGACCAACGGGGCAGTGAGTTGTTCTATCGTCGTGAATGATTATGGAAATGGGACGGTTGATGCTTTCTACATGTATTTCTATGCGTAAGTCCAAAACCCGCCATCAGAAAGACAAAGCTAATAAGCATGCAAGATATAACTGGGGCGGTAAAGTAATTGGCCTTAACTTTGACGATCATGTCGGAGACTGTAAGTAACTAAAATCTCTATTTCCATCTCCTCACATTCCGGGTATGTACTTACAGAACACAGGGGAGCATACAATGACGCGCTTCTCCAACGGAGAACCCCAAACAATATGGTACTCTCAACACGGAGCCGGCGAAGCGTTTGAATTCTCCGCTGTTCCCACATACGCCGATGGCGTTCGGCCAATCGTCTACAGCGCCAACGGGTCTCACGCAAACTATGCCACCAGTGGCACACACGACCATACGATTCCTGGACTCGACCTGCCTGTCGGCGTCGCTCTTGTTGACTATACCGACGATGGGTATATGTGGGATCCAACACTGAGCGCGTATTACGCCAGCGTTAGTTTTGCGAGTGGCACCACCACACCGGTCTTCGCAGCTTATGATAGCACGACACCTGTAAACTGGTTGAACTTTGTGGGGAAGTGGGGGGATGAGCAGTATAATAGCTCTTATCCGGGGCAGTATGATGTTTTTGGTCAGTATAGGTATAGTGGGGGACCGACGGGGCCGGAGGCTAAGGATTTGAATAGAGGGGAGGGAACATGTCCGTCGGGAGATTCAGCTCCTTGTATTGTTCTACCCGCAGTTACTGCTGGAGAGAGAATGTAATGAGAACTTCTATAGTATTTTGTATAAAAACAAAATGCAACGCTTAAACAACTCTCCTTTCAAATGTGTCACACGTTGGCGCTGCCACAGCGAGGATAGCTTGCATCAAGGAATGAGAAGTCCTGGGTGTATCTGGTGGCAAGGATTACGACGTCAGGCTTACAGACTACCTGCTTCATAAGCTCGGCTTCAGGTCTACTATTCTCAGTGAAGTGAATAATACCGTTGCTATTAATACTTTGAGGCTAAGGAGCTAAACTGATCTCACGACCCTTAGTATTAACGTTAGGGACGTTAATAATGCCTGCTCAAATCTTGTTGATAAGAGAGGGTTATATTTAGGCAGGACGGTAAGGTGCACTGATGTAGGGGATAGCATTAGTTGACTTGTTAAAGAACACTTGACAAATCAATACGCTTTAAAGACGATAACAACGTGGACAGGAAGTTAGATAGTGACTTACACTTGGACGCATGATAGCGCTCCGGAGAAACACTTCCAATCCATTAATCATAACCGAGCTGCGTTCAAGTTGCAACCCAGGAGGTTCGCTTCGCAAATTTATCCTAATGATCCCAAGCTAAGGCTGAGTCCCGGAGGACAGAGTGGGCATATATAGTGTCAAAGAGGCTCGAGGCACTAATATTATAAGGAACATTAGGCTTCTCTCTTAATAAAGGCTTCTGCCTGAAAACAATCAGATCAGGAGCACGCTAATATAGAGTTATATTAGTAAGATAATAGTAGAATCTATAACGATGGCTTAGTGTAATAGATTTTATATTAGATTTAACTGCTAAGTAGACAAGATTCATCCCCGTCTCACCGCTGTCTAGAATTAAGATATCATTCCTCTCTTTAAATTGCATGCTATGCCTAAACTGCAATAAGTGTATAATAATAGGTATAATGTCTAGACCTCAAATATAGGGATATTTGGTAAGACATATAAGCTAGAGCAGATAGCAATAGCATCATATTATTACTAAGTGTATCTATACTTTAGGTAGTAAATAATATCACTACTATCTTTAGCGCGATTAACCTTTATAATAGTAGTGTTAATAAAGACAGAAGATAAAAGGCCGAACTCTACATAGTAGTCCTCTAGGTAACGAGTGTAGTCCTCTACTAGCATGAATTATAGAGTGTTAGATAAGCAGCGAAAACTAAAGAATAAGGTGAGTTACCTTTGAGGGATAAGCTATTGTTATTAATATGTTTAATAAAAATTCTTTTCTTCAATCCTAAAGATTCCCTTATACCCCCACGCCCACCGCTCCATCCTACTCAACGCTCAACCTGCCTAAAATTTTAAAATGCTGCACTGTATAAACTCAGTCGGTTACGCAGTATTTCTTTCTCTCTCTCTCTCTTTCTTTCTTTCTCAACCAACCCCAGCATCTCCTCGTGCTCAGTTTCGGCATACGGGGGTAACGAGTTTTGTCAAGAAGAGGAAGCCGGAGTAGGTGCCTAGATGATAAGCTGTGAAAATACCAATAATTGATATAATGATGAGGAATAAAACATGTATCTAAAGGGAACAAGAGGTAAGCAAGTTGGACAGACAAACGCAGCTGTTGCACTTGGGTATATTATGTTGTGATTCGGTCACTATGTACTTCGAACAATAGTCTTGCCGAAGCCTGCAGCCAGCAGTCTTCATACCGCTCCACTTCACTTTTCAATCCTCACTGTCATCCTCCATCAACCTGGTCGGGCTGATAGCCGGACTGGTTGCTATCTTCGGTCTGCTTTTGAACACACTCTCATAATCCGGATCTCCCTCAATCAACTCAATAGCACTGGTATTAACCTCCTCTTCCACTTTGGGAAAGAAGGTCGACTCTCGCTGTTTCTTCTTGGAATCTTTGACGCTCTTTCTTCTCTCTATTTGAGCCCTCTTCTGTGCCGCTTCGAAGCCTGCCATACTTTTGCGGGTGCGTTCGATTAAGCCTGCGTGCAAGTCTGTCTCGAGAGTGGGTGTTCTTGGTGCCATGGATTGTCGAGGCTTGATTGAGAGGCGTACCATATCGAGATCGTCATCAGACCTAATAGTGGGTTAGCTGGCTACAGTATGTAGGGTTATGTACTCGGGTAACAAAGTAGACTTACGAGTACTGAGAATGCGAAGGTCGAGCCATAGAAAGTCGAGTACGTTCTGCTAAAGAAAGTGTATGGCGAGTCTTCTTAGGGGACGGTGACGCCGCAGCCATAGAATTCAATATATCATCTGCAAGATCGGATTCGCTAGCCTTGGGAGGATGCTGTGGCGAAGGAGTACGAGCAGGAGGAAGTGGTGACGGTGAGCGTTCTTTTCTGGGTGGCGTCATCGTAGATTCTCGAGGTCCGTCTTCCTCTTTTGTCCTGATAGTCAATGTGTGAGTCTCGTATTCAACGGGCTCTTCTACTGCAACTTCCGGTTCTGATGGCGGAGTACGGGATATTGATTTTGAAGCGAGGCTGGTGAATTCAAGTGAAGGCTCATCGGTCTCACTGACAGAAGCAGAGGCAGAAGACCATCCTTCATCATCAACAGGGTTTTCTTCCTCCTGTTGCTGTGGAATAAGTAATGAAGTGCGCTTTTGAAGTGTCAAGCTTTGTCGGGGGCGGCTAGCTCGGCTTCGCGGCTTGCGGACAGCTGCTATTTCTAATTTCATATTCTCGATGATACGGTTGTACTCCTCTAAAGAATCACTAGCAAAAAGGGTTAGCATTACACAATGAAGATTCAAGGGAATTTGGGAGATTGGGGAGCTTACCTAGTCGTGTTGACAGATTCCCCAGAACTGCGACCAACTTGAAGACTCTCGTGTCGATTGAAATTTAGATCAATCTTTTTGGGTCCAACCATGGGCAACTCCTTTTTGGAAGGCGAGACCGTTGCATTCTTCGACAAAGTCTTGCTGAAATCCTGCCATCTGGCTAAGCGACTTTCCTGGCCTTTGACTCTGGCATCTAACTGTTCTAAAAGGCCAACTCTTTCTTTGCTTTCGATATCACCAATGGTACCATTCTCCACGTGCTTCCATACTTTATCAAATCGCGTAGTTAAAAGTCCATCCTCACCAACTCTGCTATCTCCATAGAGCACCGTGCCTAGCCATTGTTCATTGCCAGACCAGTTCTTGTGCACTTGGTCTTGTAGAACCCCCACTTCCTTAGATGAAACTTGATCGTACGATGCACGTTCCTTTAAAACTTCTTTGAGCTGTTCATGTCGACGTGTAATGCGGCGTTCGTTCAATTTGAGAAGATCCGAAAAGTCTTGATATCTCGCTCTAGTTTCGTCCTTCTCGTGCAAATGTTTGCTAAGTGAAGCTTTGTGTGCCAGTATCAATGTCGATAGCAAAGTTCGTTCTCCAGAATACGAGAAATTTTCGAAGGCCAGATCCTTTGCAATTGCCCCGGGTTCTAGACCTTCCTCTACCAGCACTTTCTTGAGAACCACATTCGAGAATACTGCTAGCACTTCTTCTAATCTTTCACCCTTGCACTCATCCAACATCGTCTTCCTTAATAGGGTGTCCCGTCCCAAAACACCCGACTTTTTCGCATGATCGAGACTTCGAAAAAGGGCGGTTCGAAGGTTGAGAGACTGCAAAGGCTCGAGGGGAGGAAAGAAGGGTTGGAGTTTCTAGCATGATTGTTAGTTTTGCAGAAGACCAGAAGAAGGAACCACATGCGTTGCGCGTTTCTTCGGGGTCCCAAATAGCGAATAGCTGGTACAGGGCCCACTCGACACATTGTATCCGCTTCTTCTGGTTCTGCTGCGCATCCTTCTTCGTCGACAACGTCTCATTCGTGATGTCTGGCCAGTCTTTTTGCAGATCGAGGTCCAGCAGTCGTAGATTAGTCAGGAATAGCGAGACATTGGAGATTCCCTGAGTGGACTGAGAGCTTGCTGCAGCGGCAGGCATTGGTTTCAAGCTGCTGGACGGAGGAACTCGCAGACTTCGCGTCCTTGCGACTGGGGGATTGCTGGTTGTAGGGTACATGCTGGAAGACGGGCATGAATGTGGTGTAACAATAATAACATTGTTCTATGGGCTATTTTTGAAGTTTGGTGGTAGAAAGTGGTCTCACCGCAGAGTAGACCAACGTGGGGTCGAAGAGTAAACAAATCGCGGTCAGAGAAGCTGAAGCTGTATCGTCATCATGTGATCCAACATGGCAGGATGGAAGAAACTCTTGGCATCTTGGCATCATACAACCTTAATTTTACCTCAGATCCATTTCTCTCTTCTACTCCTCTACTCTTCTAATCTTCACTTCTCGCAAACATGAAGTTGGTTGTGGGCGATGTCTGGCCTCAAGTGAGTTGTTCTCCCGCTCCACCAAGGGGTGGACCGAGAAGGAGCCAACGCAATACAGTACATCCAAGACAATTGCTTGCCATGGTATTTGGAAACCTGTTCTTGAATTGTTGGGGAATTTGCTGTTGCCCTTAAGGACTTGCTTGTTTGACATGGTCTTGTTTCCCCTTGAGTTTGCGGAGGTACCTCAGTAAGCGCTGATGTATCTCCAGACCATCCAAGTCTTTCCAAATTAGCCCATCTGCATGCTCTATTACCACGTTTATTCATCTATCTCTTGATTTTGTAGTGTATTTCATGTGAAATTCCACTCACAAGGTTTAGACAGTGTGTCACTAGCATACAGGCGGGCTCGTATTCAGCAGTGGGACATCTCATGGACCGATGCAGTCCAGTCATCCACTACGACCACGGTCATTGGGTCCGAGATCCGAGTCGTAGATTGTGGAACCGGGTTCTGTTTGTAAATATGCATATTATCTGCTCTCGGCAATGGCAAATGTGTGTCTCTAGATACTCCTATTGGTTTACAAACCTGGGTACTGTACTCAGGATAGTTTGCATCTATTCTTGGATCGTGGATCGTTGAAACTACTCCAAAACACCCCAATAGAATCACGTGATACCTAGTCTCCCCACATTTCAGCGGATCGCCACTCTGTGACGCGTAACTGTTTGGGACTCTCGGGAAGCTTAATTTTCCACTACTGTACCTTGAAGGCTTGTCTCCTCCTCCACTTCCTCACCCTCACTTCCTCACTCTCACTTCATTCTCAACACCAGCCAAGAATTCTTTTGCATCTCCAACACTCGTTACATCGTGCTCTTTTCTCTTTGAACAATCGATTGATTGTGTGAACACTTTGTATTCTTGCTTTACTTACCAACCCTCGTTCTGCTTTTTCCCTAACCAATTTATCCCTCATTCCAAGAAATTCAATATGAAGACCTTTAATAATCTGGCCCTCGTGGCTGCGGCCTTTTCAGCTGCGGGAGTCGCTGCGGCTGGTACCCCAGTTTTGGCTCCCCGAGCTTCCTCCACGTTGACTCCTATCACTGTCACCGGGAATGGTATGTAATTGTCGTCTGTATACCTGATATGTAATAACATGTGACGCAGCGTTCTACCAAGGGACCGACCGATTCTACATCCGTGGCGTGGATTACCAACCAGGTATATAACCTCGTTCTCGTTCTCCAATCCATCTTCAATCACTTATACTTTGTTTTAGGTGGCGGTACTGGCACTGTCGCGGATCCTATTGCGGACGAAGCTGGCTGCACTCGAGACGTGCCATACTTCACCAAGCTTGGAATCAACGCTGTTCGGGTTTACGCCGTGGATAACACTGCTAACCACGACACCTGCATGAATGCCCTGGAGGCAGCAGGAATATACCTAATTCTCGACACCGATACACCCAAATATTCCCTCAACAGAGCTGATCCTGGGCCATCGTACAACAGTGTCTACCTACAAAGTGTCTTTGCAACTATCGACGCATTTGCCAACTACACCAATACCCTTGGCTTCCTCTCAGGTAACGAAGTCATCAACAATGTTACTAACACCAACTGCGCACCATATGTCAAGGCAGTGACCCGCGACATGAAGCAATATATTGGCAGCCGCGGCTACCGAAGCATTCCAGTTGGTTACTCCGCAGCAGACGTTGATGCAAACCAAGGAATTCTGGGCCAGTATCTCAACTGCGGGACAGACGACGAACGTGCAGACTTCTATTCTATCAATGATTACTCCTGGTGTGATCCATCCTCTTTCACCACCTCCGGATGGGATACATTAATCAAGAATTATACCGGTTACTCAATCCCTCTTTTGTAAGTACCTACCTACAGTTTCCTCTAGAATATATGCTAACAACCCCAGCATGTCTGAATACGGCTGCATAACCAACAAGCGTGTCTTCTCGGAGGTCTCTGCCCTCTACAGCACCGAAATGACCTCTGTCTTCTCCGGCGGTCTCGTCTACGAATACTCCGAAGAAGGAAACAACTATGGTCTCGTCACTATTTCCGGCACCACCGTAACCATAACAGACCAGTTCACGGACCTCCAAGGCGCCTACGCTAATGCCACCAACCCCACAGGCAACGGAGGCGCATCTACCTCAACTTCTGCATCCACCTGCCCCTCAGCGAACGAGAACTGGACGCCCACAGATGATAGTCTGCCTGCTATTCCTAGTGCGGCAGAGAAGTTGATGAAAACGGGTGCGGGGACTGCACCGGGTCTCAGTGGTGCGGGCAGTCAGGATTCAGGCACGAGTGATACTGAGAGTTCAGGGACTGCGACTGCAGGAAGCGGGACCGTGACGAGTACGGCTACTGCTTCGGGTTCGAGTACCACGAAGAAGAGTGACGGGGCTACAGTAGCAGCGCTAGATATGAAGGTGTTCTCGGTTGTGATGGTCGTGTTGATGGGTATGGTTGGTGGCATGGCTTTATTGTAGATTTCCGTTTGCTTTTCTCTGGATATCCGCACATGCATGATGGAATTGATTCATAATATGTAATGAATAGATGGTTGTTCAATATCGTTTTCGCGTTCCACGTCCGTCTGACAGACTACAAATCTTGTCTTGCCGGGGTTGTTGAGGAGCTATTACTTTTGGGTATATTATTGCCAGCACTGGCTAGTGTCTGCCTCTTTTACGGGGCCCAATTATACTTTCCCTTATCTTAAAAAAAAGGCATAGTGTGTATATCCTCCTTCTATACGCGCTGGCACCCCCGCGACCTTCTTTACTTTTGTTTAGATATATTACTCGGCTCGCCATGGTTGACGCTCCGGTGCTTACATGAGGCCGCGGGGGACATAGTTGTTAACTCCTATAGCGTTTTACGGCCTTTCCTATAAAAGGACACCGCTTATTACATGACCTCTTGCTTGTTTGCGGTTTGTTTATGCTAGCCTCGTACCATAGGGACGTACCTACGTACTTTCATTTAGCCCTTTGACAATACATTTAGCTTAATTTGAAGTCTTTTGGAGCACTTGAACTCCTATAATGTCTTACGGTCGTTTCTATAAAAAGAAAGAAGAAGTCTCGCAGTGGATGGACAAAGTAGCACCGATTTGGAACGTGTCGGGTGACATGGGACATTAAAGGTTGGTATGCATAAGTGCTGCTTTTTATGTCTAGTAAACTTGATAGTTCATAATTGGCTCGAGGAGAAGGTGTAGAAGTCGATGTCTAGTTAATAGAGTACTCGAAGAGGATATTATAGTACAGTTCAGGTCTTGCGATCCTAGGTTACGCGTTTTCATGGTAATATACTATGATACGAAGAAAGGCGGAGAAGAAACGTTTCCCCACCATAGCATAGTATTTCACTCGCAGAGCCCCACTCCCCTATCTCATGGACGAAACCACCATTCGGTTAGATACATACCGGCTCCGGCTTCTAGTTTTCTTTCTTTTGCGTGGCTTTGGCCATCTCCTTCGAAAGAGGAATAACGCTCTGCACTATCATGTCCTGCACACTTTCATTAGAAGCCTATCAAAGACTCACGATGATATGAAGATTGGTCCAAAACTCACAAAAATCCACTGTGGTGACAGCCACCATGCCAGCCGAGCCATGGACGCATCGGTACCGGCCCAGACCGTTCCAACCGTGCCTTTCTCAACCTCTCGCACTACGCTAATCGCATACTCTCGCGAACTGATGGCTTTACGTTGCATCCTGCCGTCAGTGAGGTTGTGGATGAAGTCTCGGATGTCAGAGTATTTCGAGGTTTCGGGTAATTCGGCCGGGTGGTAGTCAGCGAAGAAGTTGGTCTTCACAGCGCACGTCACGAGCGTGATGGTGCGGACACCAAGGGGTTGGAGCTCGTGGCGCCATGTCTCGCTGGCCATGGCGAGGGCTGCTTTCGAGCTGTTGTACATACCTGGAGGGGATGGTCAGCTAGGGCTTGCAACGTATTGCGCACATCACTTACTCATTAGTGGCATGGGGATATATGCATTGGCAGACGTATTATTGACGACGCAGCCTTTGGCCTTGATGAGGAGAGGCGCAAAGGCCTGCAGCATGGCTAATGGGGCCCAGAAGTTGAGCTCGAATAGTTCCTTGCCTTTTACGAGTGAGGCGTCTAGTGCTGGTACGGTGTAGCCTCCGCCGCTGTTGTTGATGAGGACGTCGAGTCCGCTGCCTGTTTTCCTCTGCACGCTGTCGACAGCGGCTGCGATTGACGATGGAGAAAGGACGTCGAGGGTTAGGCTTGTGACGTTGGCGGCACCAGATAGGGTTGCTGGAATCTTCGTAGGGTTCCGTGCGCTTGCAAAGACGTGGTATCCCTTTTCTTGAAAGACGTGAGCCAGAGCTGCACCAATACCGCCGGCTGAGCAGCCGGTGATTAGGACTGACTTTCGTAGAGAAGCCATTGGATGAGGGATGTTGGAGTTTTGGATGATTTGATATTATATTTCTATTTGAATGCGAGGATGCCATGATGCAAAGGTGGCTCACGGCAGCTTTATAGAGAAGCTTCATGAAATAAGATACCAATAGAGTAACTGTACTATACATAGTTCAGTATTCTCTGAGTCCTTATTACGGATCCACATTGCAATATCCTTGTCTATGCTTGGCCGCTATACCCGAAACGGAATACAAAGAAGTGTCTTGGCATTGCGGGATGTAACTTTAAACTGACATTTGGCAGTCGTAAGCATACTTTCGCCTATATACCATACGTACTTTCGCTTATAAATACCACCCCCTCGGACTTCCTTACTTTGTCTGCATACCTTAACCTAGTCAGGGAAACAGTTTCAGTTGCCAAGACTGACAAGATGGGCGAGCCGGAGCAATTCATTGGGTTCTCTAGCTCATTAGCTAGGATGCCTTTTATTATATCGTCGAGCGTAGAGAATGCAGATCCAGCTACTAGGAAGCTGATACGAAGCCATGTGATGCGAGGAAAGAAGAAGAAAGTGGTTCGTCCGCAGAAGGGCAAACGCAAGACAGGTGGGGGCAGAGTAGGCGGCACTCAGATTACGCGCGTTAGGATGGAAGAAGTTATCGACATGTATACGCCACAGATACCCGGTCGAGTGGGCTCGGATCTCTCCTTTATCGAGTTTTCTACTAAGCTAGAGCCCTCGATGCGTTTGAACATGATAAAAGGTCAGTAGTTCATCCACCTTACTTCTCCGGACTAATTCGATATGAGCTTAGTCTCACCATTTGCAAAAAGAATCGTATTCCCCCTAATAATGGCGATTGGTTTCCAAGCGGACAACGACAATGAATGGATTTCTTTACTCCGACTAGACGCGGCTGCTCTGCATATAACGGCATTCGCGGTGGAGTCTTTTATTGACCGGGTCCTACGCCGCCAGGAAAAGAGCATCAACCTAGCGGCGACGCTGCATTTCCAGGATGGGATGAGAATTCTCCGCGAAAGGCTCTTGGGGGACAACGATGAAAGCAAGGTCTCGGATTCTACGATAGGTGTAGTGCTGAAACTGGCTAGCGCTGCATACTTTGATGGAGATTATAAGGTCTCTAGGCAGCATATGGATGGCATTCGCAGAATGGTGGACTTGAGAGGAGGTCCAGATTCCTTTAGGGGCAAACATCTCTGGGTAGAGATCATGAGGTAAATTTCGCGCAAGGGCCCGTTCTTATTGCAAGCAAGGACGGAAAGAAGTACTGATACTCGGCAGATGTGATCTTTCAAATGCGTTACTTAACGGCTCAACCCCACTATTCTTCTCTCAGCCCTCAGAGCAAGCCGTGGATTATCCCGCGAGGCTACTATCAGCTTCTAACGACGACCTTTGTTCTCAGCACGACAAAGACTTGATAGGAAATATGGACAGCGGTTTGGCGATAGCGTGGCGGGTCATGAAGCGATTCTGCTTGCTGATTAATCTTGGGACGCAGACTCAACGTTTCGTGTCCCAGGATATGATCCATCAAACAATGAGTGCGGTAATCTATCGCCTGCTGCGCATGCGTTTCGCAGCCCTATCACTCGATGAAACGGTACGACATGGCCTGCTAGGTTTCACTCACCATGTCTTTCTGCAGTGGCAAGATATTAAATTGCCCTACCAACACTTTCCTACCGCGTACCGAAAATGCATGATGCATTTTAAGCCTATCGATGAGGGTTCCTCTCAGCTGATGCTTTGGCTGTTGATGACTGGAGCCCTTTCGGTCTTTCACGTATCAGATGAAACATGGCTGGAGGAGTCTTTGCGGGAACATGCTGTTAAATGTAAAGTGGATACGTGGAAAGAGATGGAAGATATTTTCAAATCATACATGTGGATTCCTTTATTAGACGAACAGCCCGGGAAGCAGATTTATGGGTTACTGAATCTGGATAAAGGGAAAGTACAACAAAGGACATTTCAATCAATTGAATGATTGGATTGTGTAATATTCTGCCTGCGCCCTGCAAGTAATATATAAATCATGCCCTCCATGGATTTACGCAAGCTCTAGAGTGACATTACGTGCTAGCCGCCAGCGTGTTACTCCGTATATTGATTGTCACCAAATGGAAGTAAGGGAAAAGGTGCTAGCACACTTCTGTCCTATAGTATAAGTATTTGACGTCATCCTGCAAAAAGAAGAAGCTTGCGGTATCCAGGAAGAGTGGCACTAAGTATGATATGCGAGGTAGCGTGCGACATTCAAAGTTAATCAGGATTGATACTGTTTTGTAAGTTTAGCCGAGAGTATAATTGGCGGCCATTTCAAAGGGAATGCCTTTAAACGCTATATATAAGCATTTACTGGGGCAGTAATATGGCAACGCATCCACCGTAGATCGTAAGCCCCAACTCACAGACCGAACTTTAGTCAGCTGGTGGAGGTCAAGCTCATCTTGGAATATATTGTGAAGGATTTCAATTTCAGTCTCTTCTATTCACGGGAGAATCTGGGGAGAAGGGAGGGTCTCGTTCGACGAGTAGGGTCAAGCGCTGCCACATCCATCCAGGGCATCGGAGTAACGTCTAAAGGCCTGAATGTCCATCGCGAGCTCCTTGGCAGTATCTAGGCTTTCAGATTGAAAGTTGAAAGGTTTGCTGTTCAATTTGAGGTTTCACGCTGTCGAGATTCAACGCCTTGATCAACAATCTTAGTCTAGGCTATGACCCCTTTTACTATTTTCGCTTAGTTACCCTAACCCCTTTCCTAGTTGAACACTTTCGTTTTGTCATATCAAGTATATTCGAACGCCAGAGATGGAGGTGCAATTTCTTATCTTGGCCGATATTTATATCATTATTATTAAGATAATGATGATCTTTATAGTTAGTAGCTACTTGGTAAAGTTTCAATTAAGGGCCTTTTCTTGCGAAATAAGGTTTATAAATCACGCTATTCCTAATTTTAAAGGTAATATTAAACTTTAAACTTTGATTAAAGAATAGATCAATACATTTAACGTAATTCTTAATAACTAATATATATAAAGTTTCTTTATATCTATTTTATTCATTAAGTTATATGCCTTAGAAGTTAGTAGGTTTAGGTGGGTTTATGGCTTAATTATAACGTTAGGCCCTCAATTAAAACTTTGCCAAGTATAAGTGAAAAATATAGCATATCGCTTATTAATAAGCAGCCATGGGGCTACGGATACGGAGTTTAGAACCTCGATCCGGCTTTAAATGAAGCAGCAACCTCGCCTCGCATCACTCTCCTATTCTGTCATTGCACTCGTTCCAACAATATTCAAATCAAAGTTCAAGACGCATTATGACATTCCCAAGCGCAGGATGTCAAACTTGTAAGCTCCGAAGAATCAAGGTAAGTTACTTACTATACTTGCATAAGAATAGATATCTAATGTCGTTGCAGTGCGATGAGACTCAACCGGTCTGCCAAAGATGCATGAAATCCGGGCGAATGTGCCAAGGCATGCGAAGACCAGGTTCTGTGGTCCATAGCGAGAACTCTTACGCCAGTGGAAATAAGAAACGCCCTAGAGGGCCTCGTTCTACTTTTGCTGTAGAGGCTATGCGCAGTTCTAAACCCGCCCCGCAACATGGATTGGTGGATCTGAAAGCGGAAGCAACTGGGTATTATGTGCACTATTACTTGCAGTCGCTACCAAATATCTTGGACATTTCCAAGAGTGTCCTTGATGATTTCATGCCAATATGGCTGTCCAAAGCGGAAAATAGAATGCTTGATCTTGCTCTGTCTTCCATGGCCTTGGCGGTATTTTCACAGGCGCGGCAGCATACACGGGCAGCCCTGGACGCTTCTACGAATTATCAACAGCTCCTACGGACTACGCGTGGGACCATCTGCTCTCTGTATGAAGGCAATATTGACGCTTGGCTCCTTGCAATATTTTTCATGAGTCGGTATGAACAAGTGGTACATCTTCCACGGCAGCGCCACTCGACAGCTACCTCTGCTGTGAATCTGCAGACTTTCTCTCATCATGATGGGGCATTAGCAATATTGAAGACTTGGAAAGAGAGTTTAAGCCATTACCACCCTCCGACGAGTATTATTAAACATACCAGGCGTGGAATGATCAGGTCTGCGTTATTGAGAAAGCTTGCCTTGCCGGACTGGATTTTAGATGGTGCTGCCTTTGGCGAAGAAGGCTGGGAACTTGAGTATGACTATCTCAGTGTTCGAATTACCAATCTGCGTTACCAAGTATCCCTGCTTGTTAAAGAGGCCGCCACGCAAGACACGTCGCCAGAGTTTACTTCCGCAGCTCGGGCCCTCAATAATGAAGCATGCGAGATTGACAACGGATTGAAAGTCTGGAATTCCCGTTTCCCGCATGCATGGTCAACCCAGCGACACACTTTATCGGATCCTCCTCCTTTACCGACAACATTTTTCTATTCCTCGACCGTCCTCACTTGTTCAAGTGTTGCCTACACAGCCGTTTGGAGTCAATATTACGCCATGAGAATGCTTCATAACAGTACACACTTGAAGATACTAGGCCTGTGCCATCCGAATCCGGATGCCTTCGATGAGACCCAGCGGTTGGAATGCGTTTCTTGTGTCGAGAATATGGCCAATGATTTAGCATCTAGCATACCATTCTCTCTAAAAAAGTTTGAGGTTGTTGATAACACAAACTCATCTGAAGACCAAACTCTTGTGACCATGATTACGAACGATGACCTGAAGCCACCATTGGCAAGTATGACAGTATGGCCTTTGTCTATCGCATCGTGTCTAGGAGATGTGAAAGTCGAGCAGAGATTGTGGTTTAGAGATATTCTTTCACGTCTTGGGAGAATGCTGGGTGATAGGGTCATTGAAAGTGAGGGCGACCAATGGTTTGAGCTTTAAAGAAATATAGGTCTTACGTCTATATAAAGTGTGATCAAGCGTTTATCATGGCAAAACGCAAACCAAACGAACAAGCTACGGGGAATTTGGAGAACAATTTTGCTCGGGTGCGGATTGTCTAAGCAGTCTCTGTATTCTCTCAACTTCAGAGGGCTGACTATGAGGATCCTGCCCAACGAATTAGCATAAGTAAGATACAAGTACTTGGAGAGAGCCAAGGAGTCTAAGAGCTGTCTCAGGAGCCCCGCCATATGAAGGCGTAGCAGAGCTCCCACGGAGGAAACCAACTGTTAGTATAGTATAAGACTAGACTTACCATAAGACTCCAAACCTCAGCAAGCTGCTCGGGAGAAAGGTCGAGAATTCTCTTCAATGCAAGGTATTGCCAACGCTCTAAAGAATTAGCCCAGTACAATTTCCTGGCTTGTCTCTGCATGAAGTCACCCCAAGCCGTAACACATCTCATCGTGTTCGGCATCGTCTTCGGAACAATCCTCTGCAATTGTGTGAAAGGTGTCCAGACCGAAAAAAGCGTATGGAAGATGACGGCCGTTACTTCACACATCAAGGGCGGGAAAGACAAAGTCTTGATATCGTCAAATCCCTTGAACTTCCTCGCCCGGCGGCAGACGAGTACGGGATCGGCTCTTGCCCACGGGACACTATGTCGATCTCTCCAAAATTTGCGGCAATCGCGCAGGATATAGTTGCGAATGAAGTACATGGAGGCGAGATCGAAGTGAATGACGTTCCGGTCGCCATTGAAATATATTTTCTGCCCGTTGTTAAACTGTATCATGTTCGGATTATGCCACAGCGTAGCTTCACGGCTTTCGTGGCTTGCACTGAGTGTTCCAAGGGCTTTGCTGTTGCCTCCAAGACGCATTGTAAAATAGTATTGGATCCGTCCACCTTGCTTCATCTTGGCTGGGTAAAAGGGCACGGCGTAGAACTCTGCAACGATATGCTCGTCGGGTGGGATTTTGGCTGCTTCGCCCCAAATTCGTATTCGGAGTTCTGGTGGAAGGTGCGGAAACCGTGCAAACGTGGCCATTCACAATTTTGGACATTCGATTTGGTAGTAGGCATATGCAAATTCGAGAATGGATTCCTAATACACTTTCGGGCATCTAGAGGGACGGTTAATACTCAATCTCTTCATCTAGAAATACACTTACTGGTTCACAATCTCTTTTTAACAATGTAATGTATTGTGTGACTTTGTTCATAGAAAGAAAGATGGTTCGGGTATATATTTCGTGATACGTCAAGTCTGGTTCCTAGCTTTCTAGCGCGAAGCTGTTGACTTACTATATTAACGTTGGGACCGGAAGTAATCGGGGAAATCTTAGCTGGCTTGTAATTCACAAAGAATAAAGCTAGCTATTTAACATTTTTTAACCAAGTGGGTGCAACTACCAAAGCTTTAGTCATTTGATATAAATAGTATCAAGTTGGAGCTTAGGGACTTTACTACAGATATCATAGTATGCTCGTCTATATAATTAATTCGACCTTCAATATCTGGTCTCAATATTTGATCTTTGGTAGGACAATAATGTGCATAATTAGCAAGTTTCCGGCGATATCTGGCTTGAAGTCTAGGAATGACTCCTATATAGCTATGGGTTTATAAAGGAGATGACTAAAACTTAAGAGAAGCAAGAACAAGAATTTAGCTTCATTGATAATATCAGTTAATCAATTAAATGATATTAATAATAGTAGTACGTAGCTCTCAAGGTTTGATCGTTATACTATAATTAAATGCAAATTTAGAGTTTAAAATTGATTTGAGCACCAGTTGCGGATTAGATACATGGAACCCTATGACTTTTTCAAAGGGTATCTATCGCCGAGGAATTGATTAATATAAATCTGTGATTAAAGAAAGATAAAGATAAAGCAGAAAGAAGAAATGCAACACAATCTATGTCTGGTATCCGTTTCATGTCTGAATCAAGAAAACTATGTTATCTTTAGACATCCCTAATCAAAACTTAACTAGATCTATGAAAATATCACAAGACATGTCAGTGGCATGCGGAATAGAGGAGCACGAGCATAATGCACAATAAACATAATTTGGGTGTAATACAATTATATTACTATTGGATTTAAGTACAAGGCAATGACCAAACTACCAAGTGGGGGGGTATGGACATGGAACTATCTCAATTACGGTCAGCAAGGAGTGGATGGGAAGGCCCAGTATGCCAGAATAGACTCAGCGCTTATCAGACCATGCAATTCATTACATCCACGTAGAACCAATGCGCCGTCACAATGCATTTTCTAGTACTCGTACACCCTGGGGCTTGCCGGGTATACCGATCGCCGCAGGTGGCAGACCGGCTGTTCCTTCCCATGACACTGGTAGACTCAGGTAAGTAATATCAGCAAGTATCTGGTCAGTTTCTTCAATGATCACTCCCTGCTGGGCTTTATTATCGTTGTATTGCTGTCGCAACATGGCTAATTCCTGCATCATTTTATCGTAAACCGGCCAAGTTTTATTATACGTACCCGGGACCACTGCTGACTCGCAATACGTAACACCGGCTAGGAGAGGACTAGTATTCCAATTGGGAGGCTTGAGGGCGGGGCCTCTCAACCACCTCAAGAGTAACATGGTATTCGGTGCAATGCAGTTGGGCATGGAAATGTTGACGATGGTATCGAAGCCTACCAGCTTGTTGCGGGACGTCCCCCGCTCGCCACCTTCCCTGCTATGGATGAGCGCGAGATGGTACATAGCCTGCAGGTCGAAATGGATCAGGTTCCTCTTGGCGTGGAAGTATACGCGAGGGCCTCCTCCTACTTGGATGAAATTTGGATTGGTGCGCAGCACTCTGGTGCGTACCTCTGTGTTGACGGCGAGGAGGTTAGACAGCGGCCAAGAACAACTGCGGATTTGGCCCGCGAACTCGATATGAGCCCCGTGGGTTTCTTGAGCTGATATTCCCTCCACAGCTTGTCGAGTCTGTGTTGCTGGTCTGGCTTTGATGGCTTTGGCATCTTTGGCTGCTTCGCGGGCTGTGATGTAGCGTGCTTCATAGTCGATAAGAACAACGAGACGGTGGTCATAGGGGATAGGGGCGGCGTAATCCCAGATCATGAGGCGAACCTCTGTGGGAAGGAGCGCGAATTTGGGGATGGCCGGAAGATCGTGCATGGCTTTGTAAGAGTTGATTTGTGGAAAAGTTTTTGATTGCCGGGAATGTGTTCTAAAAAACTCGAGTCATGCATGTACAAATGCTTTATACTTAAAATAACAGTAAAGCGATATCTGAAATAGGTTTCCTGTTCTATAACAGTTCATGGACAGAATCAAAAATAGTTGACCAAACAGGCTAAGAACAATCGGTGAATAATTAGGCGGGACCTCAAATTGCTCTTTGTCTACCAGTACGTTTGAAACTGAGTGACGGAAACTTATTATTCAATTAAGCAGTAAGCCATTCGTAAGTGCTTGCGTTATCCCCGTAACTCAAATTCGAGCCTCACAACTGCGACCCGCCATCTATAGATCTGTCAGCATGTATCCTATCCGAATCTTTCACGAGTACACAGCTACTGACCAATCTCAATTGAAGTCCCGGTAGCGTAGTCCGCCTTGGCAAGATACAAATACGCTTCAGCAATATCATCGGGCGTCGCCACAAAGCCCACCGGCAACGACGTCTTCTCAAAAGTTTTCTGCTGTTCCTGTTCAGTCTGACCCATCTTTGTCCAAAGCTCACTTTTCACCAAGCCTGGCGTGACAACATTGACTCGAATCTTCTTCTCCGCAAGATCACCCGCTAGTCCCTTGGTGAGGGAGATGACTCCGCCATTCAGTGCGCCACCGGTCGAGGCGCCCTTTCCTGGCTTCAGCGCTGCAGTTCCTGAAGTAAGGGTCAAGGAGCCTCTTGGATTGATGATATCATATTTCTTGACCGCTTTAAAATTTTCAGCTTTTGTGGGGGGGATAGGACGTGTAGGTAGATAAGGAAGACAGACCTTTTCCAATTGTAACGGCACCCCAGAACTTTACACCAAACAGGAATTTCGCATCCTCGAGGTTCAATTCCTCTAGCTTTCCACGGATGATCTTGTCCACCCCAGAAAACACAATGTGGTCTACAGGTGCGAGGCCCCTTAGAACTTCAATGAAGGATTCTTCCTCGCGCACATTGCCAACAATGCCTGATGCGTTTGGTGAATTCAGTCGTTTCACAGCTTCGTCGACTCGGCCTTGATTTGAGGAGATTACTATGACTTTTGAGCCGGCATCTATGAATGCTTGTGCTGCTCCGAAGCCAATCCTGATAAAAGTTCATTTAGCCTGTATTTGATTATAGATGTGGTATGAGAATGAAGGCATTTAATGCTGCGATGCTCGGATCGCAGCAAAGGACGAGTTTGTAAACCCAACCTAACAACTAAAACGTACCCTGATGTCCCGCCAACCACAACAATCTTCTTGTTCACGAGTTTGTCTGCAGATTTGACCATGATGACTTTGTATATCGGGAAGCGTACCTGGCGAACGACAGTTAGAAGTTGTTGTGATATTTTAGAAGCGATGAAGTTCAAAGGTGAGATCCCAGATTGAAGAGTCAATACTTTATAACGTAGGAGAAGACGTGATCCGAAGCTTGTTTGACGAGTCTTACTCCAGATACGAGACTGACCAAATTAACGGCGGGGATACTGGTTAAATGTGGGGTGGTGGCACGGATGACAAAGAGATCTCTTCTGTCGCTTACTGAGAATATACCACGTAGAGAAAACGAAAAGAAGGAAAAGACAAGCTCGTCTCATCGTTCAGGTCGTTGTGATGTTACATGGGTTTACCCCTCTTTCCAGATTGGGATAGCGGGGCAATCGCCTCCCCTCTCAACCTTATTACTTTAGATGGATTTGTATACACACTTCTCTTGTCTGCTCTAGCGTGTTGCAACTGCGCGACTTATCGATGCGCATTTCATACTTGTCCTGTCATGGTTCGGTAGAGCATCAATATAAGGGTTCTATTGACTAAAACAACTACGAAGAGAAAAAATTAGAAGTGCAGAGGTAGGAAGTTGGGAATAACCTCAAAAGCACGCACCACCCTTCACAAGCGAGCTAAGTCATAACATGATAGGTTCTACAGAGATATGGGAAATCTTGATAAGCGACTAGCGTAGGACTGCTATAGTCTATGGGAGGTTCGAAAAATACGTCAACATTTCGGGGTAGTTGGGCGTTCCAAGTCCTGTCACAGGATCCCATCCTTTGGAAGCCTGGAAGCCTTGTGAACCACAATTCGGGTCTATCACCGAGTCAGCAGCATTACTTCACATGGGGGTCAGCAGGACTTACTCGAGCCATTGGTAATGTCATTCAGAACAGATGGGTCTATTCTTGTCAGCACAACCATCTCGAACGTATTCCAAGGAAACTTCTTACTCTTGTATAATGCGGGGTTGATAAATCCAACAGGTCCCTTGCCAATAACGGAGCGCTCCTCATTAATGAGCGTAATGACAGACCCGAATATTGGAGATGCTAGAGAAGTACCGAAAAAGCTTCTTTCTGTGAGGTTGAGAAAGGCAAGTAAAAAAGCCCCATTTGCAGAAACATCGGGGTATCCACGACCGAAACGATTGTATACACCGCCGTTTTGGCCAATTCTGGGGGTATCGGCGGTAATCTCATAGTAAGGCAAGCTCTGGAATGGCAGGTCTTTCGTGAGATAATTGGCAACATCTTGGGCCTGGTAATCAGGTCGAGGGAAGTAGTTAGAAAAGCCTCCGCCGGTAGCGAAGAGTCGTAAGGGTGAGCCGGTAGGCCCATCACCAGTGACACGGTTCCATGCGGCTATGTCGACTTGCATGGCGGACTCGGGGTCTTTGATAGTCTGGTTTGGGTAGAGTCTGGTGGCACCGACGGACGTAATGTAGGGACATCCAGAGGGATAATCCGGATTGTAGACCGGGCCACTCGAGGAAACACCACCCAAACATCCTTTCTTGTCACTATCCGCGCCTGGAAATGCCGCGACACCGAAATCGCCACTGGAACTTAGTATGGTATGGCCTTGTAATCCGAGTTTCATAATCTCATTGCACTGCCGCTCCACATACGGCTTGGGAAGGTCAATTTCTGGCCCACCGTATGATATGGATAGCACACGAGTAAGCTCGTAGGTCCCACATTCTCGACTGCTATTGAAACCGCCCTGATGGGTATCAGGGTAGGATCCGTCAACGCCTGGGCTGTCACCCGTAATTCCAAAAGCGGTATAATCGCAATAGCTGCCATCGATGCTGTCCAGAAAGGTATTGATGAAACCGATAGTTTGTTCCTTGCCAGAGGCTATGGGAAGGTCATCGACTTGATAGACCATAACAGATTGTGGGTAGATGAGTGAGATGGCGAGGTCAAGGTCGATATCTGATTCCCGTCCGTTACGATGATTACCAGGCTTAACTGGCGCTTTACCACCGTCAACCGAGATGACTTGAGGGGCTGTATGGGAGGGGACATTTCCCGCAAATTTCCCGAGAAATAGCGAGACATCTTCTTGAGAAAAAGCGTCATAGGTCTCGAATAGGCCCATGGAGTTCTCTGGTTGGTGATAGCGAGCTGTGGGGATTCCGTATAAAGCCTTTATGCAGGTGGGAGTAATATTAACACCGCAGTTCTGGAGAGCAAGAGGAAGACCACCAGCTCCGAAAGGAGGTTCCAAACCTCGGTAATGAGGAGGATTGGTGTTTGACAGGTGGGGAATTCCTCCTGGTGAGCTACGAGGTGAGCCACGTTTCTCTATCTCTCTCTTCTTTAACGGCGCAGAAAGTTTCACACCTGGTTTAACAAAGTCGACGTGGCTAGAAATGTGACGTGGGAGGTGATACTGGTCGCATCCGATTCGAAGTTCTCCCTTGTTCGTCTCGTGCTCGTAGTACTCGGTACCGAAGAGGGTTTCTGCGTGTTTAGCAGGCATATCGACTGCAAGCCAGCCTTTGTTTTCATAGTGGATAATATCGCGTTTCTGGATGAGATTGAAACCAAGCAGCCAGTTCTTGACAATCTTGATGGTCTCATCAGCTGGAGCAAAGAGTGAATGGACCTCCTCCTTTGACAAATGTTTGCCATAAGTCATGGAGCCGGGATGAGAGACTTCCATCAGTCTATCGTAGCCAGTGTGCAAGTTGTTCTGACGAAGGCCAATGCGAACTGGAATAATAGCATCGCTGTGGACACGCCGTCGCTTGCCTGGGAGGGAGACTGATCTCTTCTCATGCACTACAGGGCTGGTAGAGAGGGACAGCGCGACTGTCAACAGCGCAGTGTTAGCTAGGACTTGTTGCCACAGCATGATGGTATATATAGTGAAGCTGAAAAGAAAACCCCGGGCTTACTGTGTCATGAAGTAGGAGAGGGTTAGGAAACCCAGTCGGGCGGAGAGTGGCGGCAGCATTCCTTAGCAACTAAGAATGGATTAATGAGGCATGTACGCCTGGCCCTCTTCTCTTCTCAGGGTCGTTAATAATCACTAGCTGATATAGTTTCTAATGGCTGAGATGCACTCGTTTACAAGTGATGTCGTTCATAAGATGGATGAACAGACGCAGAAAAGGGGTTTCCACAACACGTGATCGTCTGAAAATACATAATGTAGCATAAACAATAAGTAGATTGCTTTTCTTCGGACTACAATACAGAAATGATAGTTTATTAGTAGTCGCAACTAAGATACAAAGTATCTTCTGCTTTACGTGGATAAGTAATATATGATTATGGGTTTCAATTACATTTTTCCCCCTATTTGCCTAAGCGAGAAAGGACCTACATATTAAGGGAAATTACCTTTGTAGTACCGCATGTTTGATAAATAGCGTGTAATCATTTTAGTAAACTTGGACTTCTAGACAATGATTTAAATTTAACCCCCACATCACTCCTTATCGAAACATCGTAGAGTATGTAAAGCGATATTCTCGGACTTCTTTCAATTTACTAGTGTTAAGTATGCAGGTCTTGGATTATTGTTGACATTAGCTGGATATAAAATGCGGCACTTATTCTGATCCACTTTTAATGTTCTACACCACCTGGCACATTGTACATTGGTGCTGCTTTTATTGTCCATGCGACACCCTTTGCGTGGATTAGAATGGTGGCGATGCAAGGAAGATACGTGAGACCCCAAAGCAATTATAATCGAATAGATTCTAGTTATCTCGTGCCAAGGAGTTTCAGCCTGTCGCTCCTTTGGGGCAAGATCACCAGGGGAGGTCGTGCCTGTCACCATGCCAAATTCACACGAGAGTAATAAGTTGTTGCTGTCCCTCACTATGCCACTCTCTTTCTTGTGATACACTTTCTCTATTTGTCCAAGTCGCAAAGCCAATACGTTCGAACGCATTATTAGCCGAATCGATGCACTTAAGTGCTATCGCATAATCTTCTTCGTCGACTGTCATCATACGTATACAGAAAATAGTCCGGTCGACTTTGTCGCTTTCGGACAGAAGATGATCTTCCATGAATGAAGATGCAATAACATTCGATGCTCTGATGTTATACTGGCGGCTTAGTACACTTTTTGGGTGTGCAGCGTGTGCAAAATCGTATTGAATTGGCAATAAAATCGCGTGAACTATCCAGGCAGATATCAGGAGGGCGCCGCTACCAATCTTGCCAATAGTATCAAGTCCAGTGGACGTCCACTGCGCATTTAAAGCTCGACAATATTTGTCTCCTTGGAAATGAACAGGTAAGATACAAAGCTGGTCATTTCCTGGATATCCAACAGCTCCATCTACAGATACCCATGACCATGACGGACCGCGCTTGTCCGTGGACTGGTAGATTGAAGGGTGGTATGTAGTCCAACATAAATCCTCAACTAGAGTATCTTCCCAGAGGCCGAATAGATACCTGCACGGTCGAATCCGATGAAACTGCTTTGCAATACCGGACAATGCGGGTAGGCGATCTGATTTTCGGGTCAGGTTTAATTGGGAGTACTCCTCTACAACACAGCGCCATCGTTGAGGTAATCGATCAAGGTTAGGACTTGCGAGCACACTATGGTGAAATTCCTTAGGCATATCCATATACTCTCCCCAATAATGGCCACACTCACACTCGCAAGTCTTGTTACACTCCCACCATAGTTCTTGCGATCCGAAATGCAGTATTCGGGGAGAGAGAAGGCGCTCCTGGTATACCCAGCCCCGCTTCAATAATGGTGACTTGTCATCGACGGTAAAGCTATGGCGTAACTTGGGCCGGGCATAAACCGGGTACTTAGTCCCATCTGGACTTATACCGATAAATTGATGCTCTGTGTTGCCTGTTTCTATGTTTGAGACGAAGCCATCGTCACTAACGGAAGACCCTGTAGCAGCAAGCGTAACGTAAGCATTTTGATATATGGCTGCCATGTCTGCGGCCTGATTTTGCCAGTCTAGCTTATCATTTTGAATAATGCAAAAAGAGTCAATCCAAAGGTACTCAATCCCAAGTTTACGGACTACAGAGACGGCATCATAGAAGGTCCTCGGAAGCGAGTGCGATGGAATGCACTTAGTATATTCAAGCAAATTGAAAGTTGTGGTCATAAGTGGTTGATGTAGGCCCCAGCAATGACTTAAGCATGCATAGCGTCCTCTTTCTTCGCTTTGTGCTTCACGGATCTGAATGGCAGAACTTAGAGGTTCGATTTTTAGGATGCGTGTGGGTAGGACAGAGTCATGACCAGGGCTGCATAATTCGTGTTGTTGTATGCAGGTCTTAATCCATCCTTTAGCCTGAGCGATATTCTTAGACGATGCCCTATCGCTACAAATGTGTTTCCCGATAGGGAAGAAGTTCCATGGGCAGGGCTGATCTGTTATGGTCAATCACCTTTAAGACACCTCTTTGATTTCAACGAGATTTACGAGTGAAAATTGAAATTATTTACCTGCGGAAACAAAGAATTCCACACCATCCCAGACAAATGCTGCAGATACAGTAGATACAGATAGAACCCTACTTAAATTGGACCAGGACCAGAAGTATTCAAACTTATGAGTATCAATCTGGGCGAGGTCGGGGCCTTGCCAAAAGTGGCATACACCTTGGAAAATGATCGAGCATATCATACAGCCGATCTGTCCATTGCGACGTAAATCTCTACCCTCGATCATTCCACCTGGGTAGGCCCTTTGTTTCACCTCTTCGCAATGGCTGCACAACGACATGGCATGGAAATATGGTCCTAGCGATCTTCAACGGAATATTAGAGTCTAGATTTATGCTAGAGATCAATGGTGTTCTTGCCTAGAGCTTAGCAGAACTGAGGTCGCTCTACGTCCGAGCGTCAAACAGTAATGTACTGAATGGTCTCACAATATCACAAGTGATGGAGTGAAGGTAATCGATCGATGAATTAATTGATGTGAAGGATGATAAGTTGAAGTGAAGCGTGCAGGAACTTTAAGGATAAGCCCTAACTAAGCAGCCCACTGATGCACAGCACCGAGAAAAAAAGAAGCGAAACGGTATTCACTTGGAACAAGTTCGAAATAAATGTATCTAATCAATACTTTGTTATTTGCACCTTTACCCGTATTATGTGAACTCTTCGTATATTTTATATATGCGTTCAATTGTACGCTGGTCCATCTGCTAGCAGAAATTTCATTGAAACGGGCCAATGCAAGATCTTTATTATCTGTCCGCATAGCACGGAACTTGTTTTTTACAGGGTGGTCATTGATTTGGAATAGAAAGGCCTAGATAAATTTCAGGAAGAAGAAGAAGAAGAGGCATGTAATGCCTTCTAGCCTAGTACGCCAGCCATGGCATCACCATCATGGGCTGAATCTGCATTCTGCATAAGTAGTCAAACTTTCAAGGGATCAGGTGATCTCTGTTTCGTCTGATATACTAGCGTGGCTATGTACGGACCACTGCCCACTGTTGTACTTAAGCAGATCTTTCCATACGAGTCACTTCCTTTTTTGTAAATGTTTTATGCAGAGTACTACGAAATTGGCCGCCAAATTCGCCTGATCTGAACCTAATTAAGCACTTGTAGTCAGTTATCAAGGCTGATATCCATTCTAGGCGTCCTTAAAGAAATAGGGAGTAGGAGGAGGCACTATATACAGCTTAGAGTAGAATTAAGAGGGATGTATTAGAAAATTTATTACAATCTATGCCTAAGCGAACAGCAGCACTTATTGCAGCAAATGGAGGTCAGACTTGCTAGTAGAGCACTTGTCAATAAGAGAATGCGCGCTGATCATATGTGGCCCATAAAAGCTGAGAAAATGCAGGACTTTTGACAATACCCTGTACCATGGTGAACTAGCGCGAGGGACTATGCCAACAAGGCAGGTGCTATGTAAGAAGGGAACTTCCCCTCGATTCCTCGAGCCTCTTCTCCTTCTACCGTTCTCCATCATCAATCTACAACTCTATCTTGGGAAACCTGCCAAATACCAACAGACGAAGCATCTCCTTTACCACTCTCCCAATCACATTGGGGTCACTCGACCGTGGACCCCCTTCTGACACCTACAAACTCCAATCGACGCACGAACACGATGGTGGCTTCCTTTTCTCTCTGTGATAACTCCTCAAAGACAATATTGAGACCTGGTTTAGCAACTTTGCGTCGCCTGCGTTCTGGAGGACAGATTAAGCTAGGAGAAAGCAAGCACATGAACTTCTCCAATCACTCATATAGGCAATCCGCGCCCGTCAGTCCACCCCACCCTTTGCATCCCTTGCAGGAACAAGAGAAAGAGATGGGTCGAAACTGAGTGAAGCATAAACCTACAACAGACAGCCCTGCAGTGACTGGAGGCTTCTCTCCTTGACGCGTCGAGGATTGGGTCACTTCACGTTCTCCGCAAACGGCTGCTAAACCAGACCTTCAAGACATACTGGACAACCCAACTCGTAGTCTATGGCTGGCATGGGAAATAGATGTACTCCAGGTGCACAAAGATATTCGCACCATCTGGTTGGTTTCCAACCCCAGATGCCCACTCAAAAAGGAAGATCACGGAACGAAGTTTGTCAGTCTACGAACTACGAACAATAGCTTGTATCATTCCACACCGCCCATCAAAGAACAGTACTACTGCTAGTTACATTCCACCCTGCAAAAGTCTGCCCATCCTACTCCTGCTATTGACTTGCTAACGTATTGAAACCCATCAGTTACCCGGAGCAACATGGGCTACAATAATCCTTACTACCTCACTCGGCCCTTTACCGCCGAGTACGACTCTTCCTACCAATGCAAATATATAGTGGGAAGTAGGCCTGGAAATGCCATTAGTCTATACTACGCGCCTTCATAAATTGAAACATAATACCTTGAAGGCTAGGTTGTCAGCTTCGAGTCGGGCTTGCGCTACGAGCAAGTGAACATCTTGAATAGTCATTCTGTCAAGCTCCGTCAGCCTCATCGAGCTCGATAATGTGGTTGAGGATTCACCCTAGTCTCTCGGTGAAGGGATATATTGCCATGGAAGAGAGAAAGCGCTGCACATTCTCACGATTTGCTGCCCCAATTGCATTCTCTCTCGGGTCTGCACGGAACGGATTTAGTTGCAATCCCCTTGATAGCTAGTAATGGCTTCCTACCAGTCGACCAAGCACAAGTATGTAGCATTATCATTCTATGCTCCACATCCACGAATCCTGCATCTCTCATCATATTTGGTAGTCGCAGTGGGACTCGGAGGTCTTTCAAGCCTTGGAGACTTTCCATGTATCGAATACTCCATTGCCTCAAAGCATGCTCTGAGTGGACCTGAAGTCAACAAAATGCATTCAAAGCATATGGCCGTGCTCACCGTCGGACAAGCTTCCGTTATCACTTTGAACGTTGAAGTACAGCTCTACCATCTGGGTCCAGCCGCCTGGTCTTGTGACTCGGAACATATCTCGGACATAGTCTCCCCACCGATTAACATGAATGCCAGAGGCCATCATCCGGGAATGGACGAGATCGAAGGTGTGTGGTTGGAAAGTGAATCTGGTCACTTGTCAGTGGCAGCGTGGTAAACCGGGGAGGCGACTTGCGTTCGATTCAAGTCATCAACTTGAAGGTAGAGGTTTCTTGGCACCTCGTCCGGTTGCCAAGGATTTATATCAACTCCCAATACCTGAGATTTGAAGTTAGTGTCTTCCATGGACCAACATCTTTTGCAACAGCCCTCCTTGTGGCATAGTCCAACTCTTTGCACAAGCCCGGTCATTCGAGCCTGCCGGGATTGAAGTATGTGCTGAACGTGGTAGTGAGAATGGGGCTAGGAGCGGCTATAACATACATCAGCACGTTCATTCTGCTCGGCCACCTCTGTTGCCCAAGATGCCGATCCATATCCAAGGTCGAGAATTCTTCGAGGCCGTGTCAATGGAGGGAACAGAAGCCTTCCATCAAACACCAAATTCAAAACATTGTGCATGATCTGAAGTCTCTCGACCTCCTCCTTAAGTGGTGGACGGGTTAGCGAAGCTTTTTGGAGCTACTCTAGGGGTAACGCTTGCCTCATCAACCGGCACGAAATACACTTGGTTGTTTATAGAGTACTGTTGGTAGTCTCTGTTGTGCAAGACAACAGTCTGCAAGAAGCTACTATCGAGAGCGCTGGTTCCAGCTTCTGGATTGATTCCAATTGTGCTCCAGAGCCATTTAGCGAGATCTCAGGGGCACTGCGGTATCGGTACTAACCTTGACGACATTTTTGATATTTGCGTGGCGGTCTGTTGACTTTTTGGTTCCTGATTTGTGCCAAACAGTCACAGTGTTCTCGGAGCATGGGATCACACAGGTATTTGCAAAATCTTCAACGAGAAGAGAGCAGAAGAAGACGGAACACCATCGCTTCTGCGGATCTCCTCCCGGGTAATACCTCAGAGATCATATGAATGGTCTTGGTAGAGCAGCACTCGAAAATATGGTCTGGAAAATCTGCTTGGGGACTCATTGGCCTGATGGCATGGAAGGGTAAAATGGCTTGCATCCTATTTGACGGTTTTCTACAGCTAACCCTGCCACCCAGCCAGAAAGCATGCTCTTTGAGAAGGTGAAATGGGGTAATGCTGCGATCGTACCTATAATATGCACACAGAAAGATCGAAAGTATCAATGGTTCATCTCACTAGGAAGCATTGTGTTGATGGGACGAAAAAAGCCCAAGGGGCTATTCTCCACCAGAAGTCGGCATCCCAGAGTATTGGCGAAAAACAGCGGGTCCATTATATGCCTTTGATGCAAAAGTTTAGGGCAAATCGACAAAATGGTTGGCTATTGTCAAAGCCGAAGACTGGCTACATATAGTCCTACACCAGCTTGCTCCTTGAAGTTACTCGAATTTCACGCGGTATCCATTCCGGCCTAAATCTACGCTCATATCCCGGTGTGGCGTTGACCAATACGCACGCACAGATTATGAAAACGCCTGCTATCATGAAGCTGAATGCTCTTGGCTCTCGCCTTCAACTATCGGGACGGGGATTCTCAGCGTCGGTAACCGAAGTTGAATTTAGGTAGAGGCCATCATCCCCTTTCTAACACCCGAGTAATACAAAGCCGGGATCAGACTATGGGTTGAAGGCGCAGGGCGAAACCGATAGCATGGTACTCGGATCTTGGAAGCATGTTCAGAGCGTGGACCATGTGTTATTCAACTACACAAGACTAGGAAGTTTCGATTGTCATACACTGAAAGCACGACATATGGCTTCACGATCGCAGCCGTGTAACACCTAAGGTACCTAGGTGAGTGAGTTAGACAGCTTGACCGTGGAGCCATGTCTGTGGCTAGAACCCTTCTATGTTGCGAGCTGCAAGATAAAGAGGCGCCCAGCAAAAGCAATTCAAATTTGGTAGATGGCTTGTTTTGCCTATTTTCAGAAAATGCCGATATCCTACATCATCTAAACTCTCTTGGCCTGTTCTTATTTCATCTGTTGTGTATTGCAACTCAATCCCTAAGCAAAGTCTAATTGCTCTCAATTTCGAAAGCACGCTCTGTCCGCATTAGACATTCAAGACCTTTGTGGGCGTCCGAGTTTTCTTAGCTGCAGTAGTGCCGCCGCTGCTGAAGGGAGGTGGGGTGTTTAAGGAGAAGTTGAGACTCCACCAGTCGTCTCTGACCAGGAATAATGATCTGCTCGTCGTACAGCATCACATCGGGTCGTGACGTGCCGCCGTGCGGCGGAGCTACCCTCCACTTCCCTGTAGTTCTGAATACTCTATGAGTTGTACAGATCTCCTTGACCGTCTACACGGCCATATCAGGGAAGACAGGTAGTCCGAGGATTCTTTTCGACTATACTGCTACCGATTGCTGCTGGACGAGACCTAGGTCCCTAATCTTTCACGCATGTGGTTCTACGTATCGTATTACCCACCCTTTGCTCTATATGCCACTAAAGGATGAGTGGAGTTGGCTACAACGCTGAACAGGCAAGGACCAGCACTCCAAATAGAGGTGCATAAGTGTATGCTATAGCTCGTCTGAAAAATTGATTGCCGATTATGTACAGGGACCTAATGCTGCATGTTTAGAAGCGGATCCGCCTGCATGTTTAGAAATAGATCTGCCAGGTAACATGTACTTGTACAGCGCATACTGTACAAATGGCCAAGGTATGTAGTTATTATCCTCAGGTATGATGGCATCATACCCCGAGGATACGCTCGAATAACCGTGTGGTAAGGTAGGTTACCATTGTGAGGGGGCGGCCTGGAGTCTGGACCTTGCTGGACTCTGTTAGTTCAAGCTTGGGAAGAAGCACGTGAGGGGGGGGGGGGGGGGGGCTATTTTATTGGGAAAGAAAGAGGTCGGAAGATTGTGGCAAAATCGAATCGTCAGCTTTCTGCAACAGGATGGCTGGCTGGGCGGGTTCAAGATTCTATTGTGCGGGTGTCTCGTGGTTGGGTTTGCTTCGTCTTGTTAGATTTAGGGGGTGTACAGTACACGAGGGCCGGGGGGTAGCATTTTAAGGGGTGGGTGCTTTTGATATATTGTGAGCGCGAGCTTTCAATAATTTATACAAGAACTACATACATCCCTAGATAGTAGATCTAAAAAACATTATGCAGTTTTACTTTTAGCTTCAGATTGTTTTTTTATGTAGATTCTTAACATGAGTTCTCATTTTTAGTTCTACCTAACTAGATATTTACTGTAGCACTGCACTGAACCCACAAGCCTCAACTTTTCTTCCTCTGCTCTCTTCTCGTGAAACTCATTTCAGGCTCTAGCAAACTAACCGACCGGGACGCCGAAACGAATCAGAGCATGCAGATAAAAGGAGGAACTGCCTGAAAAATGAACGCCAAGCCAGTAATTTTGATAATTGATGGTGAAAAGAAGGAAGGGATTAACGACTGTTCGTCTTGCCCATGCCACGCTTTCCGGAGAACTGAGAATAGGTGCGTTAGTATTAACTTGCTTGCATATGGAAATGGGATAAAGGGGAAGGTGAAACATACCAAGTGCTTAGGCATTGCTGCAGGAACATGCCTATCAGCCTCACCCTGCCTCGCCATGCGGTTCATCTTCCTCTGACTCAGCTTCTGCGCGCGCTCAGCCTTGGTGCGCGAAACCTCATCCGTAACACCGTCATCGCGCCTATTGCTCTGGCTTCTCGCGCGGCTCTTTGCACGCATCTTGGCTTCGTAGTTGGGGTCGTCGAGATCCATGACATCTTCTGTGCCGGCGCGGCTGCGCAGGGGCGTGCGGC